TTATTTCCACTGAGCTGACATTCAACCCCTTTTTGTTTATTTTCCACTCAAGGCAAATGAGTGCAGCTTGCCTGTTGTTGTCTCCTGAGTGGCGCAGTGGTCTAAGGCGCCGCATCGCAGTGCTAACTGTGCCACTAGAGATCCTGGTTCGAATCCAGGCTCTGTCGCAGCCGGCCGCGACCGGGAGACTCATGGGCGGCGCACAATTGGCCCAGCGTCGTCCAGGGTAGGGGAGGGAATGGCCGGCAGGGATGTAGCTCAGTTGATAGAGCATGGCGTTTGCAACGCCAGGGTTGTGGGTTCGATTCCCACGGGGGGCCAGTATAAAAAATAATAATATATGTATTCACTAACTGTAAGTCGCTCTGGATAAGAGCGTCTGCTAAATGACTAAAATGTAATGTAAATGTTTTAAGATTACTAAGGTCTGTTAAAATGTGTATCTGAGATAGGGCTGTTTCTTCTTTCCAGCATTGATTTCTGCACAGTTTTACAATGCAATGATATCCCACAATGTATAGTGATTCACACAGAGTTATAATTGATCATTCTAATTCTATGGGATTCACACAGGGGGACCCTTGTCACATGCCACTTTCAGTACTGAATCCCCATCAATGTTCTCCAAGCACTAACACTGCCTAACACTACATATACAGTCGCATAACAAAATTAATGATTGGATGCTCAGTTGAGCTGTGCCTGGAGACCTTTGTCTGGTTAGCCATAGAGATGACATGCAGCAAGGCCAAACATACAAGATAAGTTGTGCAGTTATATTTAACTATCATCTGAATGTCCCACAGACAAAAGAAATGAATTAATTAGTTTGTCTGCCACCAATTAAAAATCATAAATGGCTTAAAATCACTAATATAACTATAGCTCAGTTGGTAGAGCATGTTGCTTGCAATGCCAGGGTTGTGGGTTCGTTTCCCACGGGGGGCTAGTATGAAAATGTATGCACTCACTAACTGTAAGTCGCTCTGGATAAGAGCGTCTGCCGCATAAAATTACAAAAAGTTGGGAACAGATTTTCGATGTCCCAATACCATGGCATCGGCTTTATGAACTGATATACAAAACAACAATTGATGTATTAATTCTCGGTACAAAAAGAATGCTCAGTATATGGGGAATTCAACAGTCAGACCGGTGCAGACTGCCATGCGGAAATAGAATCAATAGAGCATCTCTTTTGGTACTGTCCACCGGTGGCTTGTTTTTGGAGTCAGGTCCAGGAATGGTTGTTATGCCATAATATCAGAGTGCAGTTGAACATGCAAACTGTATTGCTGGGGGACTTGATGGACCACAGTCAGTCAATAGGAAATATAATTGTGCTCTTGGGTAAAATGTTTATTGTTGGGGCAATAAAATGCAAATTAATTACTTAAAAATCATACAATGTGATTTTCTGGATATTTTTTTTTTTTTAGATTCCGTCTCTCACAGTTGAAGTGTACCTATGATAAAAATTACAGACCTCTACATGCTTTGTAAGTAGGAAAACCTGCAAAATCGGCAGTGTATCAAATACTTGTTCTCCCCACTGTATATACATACAGTACCAGTCAAAAGTTTTTTTTATATACACAGTGCCTTCGGAAAGTATTCAGACCCCTTGACTTTTTACACATTTTGTTACGTTACAGCCTTATTCTAAAATTTGTTTTTTTCCCTCATCAATCTACACACAATACCCCATAATGACAAAGCAAAAACAGGCTGTTATAAATTGTAGCTAATTTATAAAATAAAAAAAACGGAAATATTACATTTACATAAGTATTCATACCCTTTACTCAGTACTTTGTTGAAGCACCTTTGGCAGCGATTACAGCATCGAGTCTTCTTGGGTATAAAGCTTGGCACACCTGTATTTGGAGAGTTTCTCTCATTCTTCTCTGCAGATCCTCTCAAGCTCTGTCAGGTTGGATGGGGAGCGTTGCTACACAGCAATTTTCAGGTCTCTCCAGAGATGTTCTATTGGGTTCAAGTCCAGGCTCTGGCTGGGCCACTCAAGGACATTCAGAGACCACTCCTGCGTTGTCTTGGTTGTGTGCTTAGAGTCGTTGTCCTGTTGGAAGGTGAACCTTCGCCCCAGTCTGAGGTCCTGAGCGCTCTGTAGCAGGTTTTCATCAAGGATCTCTCTGTACTTTGTTCCGTTTATCTTTACCTCGATCTTGACTATTCTCCCAGTCCTTTCCCTGAAAAACATCCCCACAGAATGGCGCTGCCACCACCATGCTTCACCGTAGGGATGGTGCCAGATTTCCTCCAGACGTGACGCTTGGCAATCAGGCCAAAAACCTTGGTTTCATCAGACCAGAACATCTTTTTTCTCATGGTCTGAGAGTTTTTAGGTGTCTTTTGGCAAACTCCAAGCGGGCTGTCATGTGCCTTTTACTGAGGAATGGCTTCCATCTGGCTACTCTACCATAAAGGCCTGATTGGTGGAGTGCTGCAGAGATGGTTGTCCTTCTGGAAGATTCTCCCATCTCCACAGAGGAACTCTAGAGCTCTGTCAGGGTGACTATCGGATTCTTGGTCACCTCCCTGACCAAGGCCCTTCTCCACCGATTGCTCAGTTTGGCCGGGCGGCCAGAGTTTTGGTGATTCCAAACTTCTTCCATTTAAGAATGATGGAGTTCACTGTGTTCTTGGGGATCTTCAATGCTGCAGAAATGTTTTGGTACCCATTCCCAGATCTGTGCCTCGACACAATCCTGTCTCAGAGCTCTACGGACAATTCCTTCGACCTCATGGCTTGGGTTTTGCTCTGACATGCACTGTCAACTCTGGGACCTTATATAGACAGGTGTGTGCCTTTCCAAATCATATATCCAATCAAGTTGTAGAAACATCTCAAGGATGATCAATGGAAACAGGATGCACCTGAGCTCAATTTCGAGTCTCATAGCAAAATGTCTGAATACTTATGTAAATAAGTATTTATGTTTTTTATTTTTTATTAATTAGCAAAAATTAGCAAAAACCTGTTCTCGCTTTAATTATGCGGTATTGTGTGAAAATGTTTTAATACATTTTAGAATAAGGCTGTAACGTAACAAAATGTGGTCAAGGGGTCTGAATACTTTCCGAAGGCACTGTATATCTGAATGTCCCACAGCGTCTCTGACCTACATGAAAGTCACTGTCGCTGGTAGTATTGGCCTTGTAATTTAGGGTTTTGTCATTATTCTTGTAAGTACCATTGGTTGTTGTGGTGTTACAGTATTGGTGCTATCACATATCAGCCTCCAGTTATAGGTTATGCAGAGAGAGCCTGATATGTTACTGTCAATGCATTTCCTATTAATGTGGATATTCTCGTCTTAAGCAGCTTAGGAATCTGTTGTGCATGTAGCCAAGTGGTTGAGAGGTGTCAGAGCCTTGCTGTGATACAGGGAAACAAATATCAGTCATTTAAACCAAGGATCTTTCTACTGAGATGCCTGTCGGTGCAATAACAATTAGCGTGTAAGGCTGTGATTAGTAAGGAGAAGTGGTAAGAGTCTGAGGTGGCCAACTATGGGACTGAATGTGGAACTGAGCCTTGGGCTTCTGTACTGTAAATATACAGGGAGGCCGGCTGCCAGGGAACACTAGAAAAAGGAGCCAGTCAAGACAGGCAAATATGTAATGATTAAATGTGTACACACACACATCTAACACTGTGGAATCTTAAAATCATCTCCCCCTCCTTTCTCTTTTGATCTTCTACCTTTGCTTTTCCTCTGTCTCTGTTCCCCCAATCCCCTCCCCCTCTCCCTCTTGCTCTCTCTCCTCTATCTTCTTTCCTTTCCCTCGCTTTCTCTTACCCCCATCCTCTTTCTCCCTTTAACAAAAAGGGGGTAAGCCTTTATTTCACTCTGCTTGGGTTGCCATGCCATTGAGCCACTTCCTCATAACTGATGTGCCTCTCAACCAATCACAAAGGCCGCAGAGAGGGATGTTTGAATGTGAATGATGCTGTGACACGTTTAGCATTCCCTCCACGGCAGAGAGGCCAAGCACAGGGGAACGTTCCCAGGGTCTGCTAGCCTTCACCCTGGGACAACCGTTTGACAACACTAGGCACCATTCAGACGGATGGGCGGTCAATACCAGCTGACAGTGCCTTAACCTGGCCCTGTGTCAATGTTATCGCCCCCTCAGTAAAACACACACACACACACAACCATACATTCAGACACATACAGTAGCAAGAGGATACAGTCTCCTGGGAAAGAGGAGTCTAACAGGTTCATGTTAAACCACACAATCCTGGCCACGGATGACGACATTTCAGACAGACTTTTCGTCCGTCCCCCCCTTCAGCTCATGCCTCTTACTCTTTTGATATTTGCTTCAAGTTCCAACTCTTTGCTGTGCCCTCAAATGCAGTTTATGATTCTTCAAGCAGCACTCATCCTGGATCTTAAGTTGATATAGTGAGTGTAATTCTGCTCATAAATTGTGAACACAGAGCAATAGGTAAAGAGGGCATAATACCCAGACAGCCGGTCTATTGGAACAGTGGAAATGGGTCAACGGTTCACTGTAAGGAATCGTAATCAGAGCCCCTCTTTGAGGACCCCCTCCCCTCTAAATCCGTTCAACCACCACTGTATCAAATTCAGACTGCTCCCTGTACAATGTGGCTCCTATTTAAAATGCACTGACTCAACTTCCCCTGTGGCTGCTTTTTGTTGCCTGTGTGTGCGCGAACAGGGCTCCCCATTCAGACTAGTGGCCGTGCTGGGTTTGTGCCCCTGGCTGGGGTTGGTAGTAGCCTGTGGGGGGAGGCTTCTAGACCTAACACAGGCACCCCATACCCCATCAATCTCACTGGCCTAGTGTCATCCCCTGGACTTCTGCAAGAGAGAAGAAAGGAGGGGGCAGGGAGGGAAAGTGAGGACTAGCCCCCCCCCCCCTATTTCTTAACTATAATCACTTTATGGTCCACACAGTGAAAGTAACCATGCATTCTCTCTCTCGTTCCCTCTTTCCACCAGGCGTTTGGGAATGCCAAGACGGCCCACAACAACAACTCCAGCCGCTTTGGGAAGTTCATCCAGGTCAACTACTTGGAGAGCGGGGTGGTGAGAGGGTGAGTACTGACCGCTAGCCCACACTGTGTGTTGTGATGACACACACTCAATCCTCTTGTATGCAGGTACACTACCGGTCAAAAGTTTTAGAACACCTACTCATTCAAGGGTTTTTCTTTATTTTTACTATTTTCTACATTGTAGAATAATAGTGAAGACATCAAACCTATGAAATAACACATATGGAATCATGTAGTAACCAAAAAAGTGTTAAACAAATCAAAATACATTTTATATTTGAGATTCTTTGCCTTGATGACTAGCAGAAACCTCCATGACAGCAGACAGCCGCTGTTACTTCCATCATACCATACAAGGCTAGTGAGAAGTGGATTAGTAGTGTCTTAGGTTGTTTCTGTTTGAGGCCTGCAGGCCCACGTTAAAGCACAGCCTCCTTCCTCTCTCTGCCTACAGTCATTCTGGTTACCGCCTGCGTCACACTGCTCTGCTCTTTCATTTCCTCTCTAACAGAGGAAGAGTGTGCTGCTGAAGATATTACAAATGAAACATGAGCTGTGAGCGCTCTCGCTGTTACAAGACAAGAGCTTACAATACAGTATAGACAAGACCCATTGATTCACAACCTGATTAGTAGGTCCTAAAACATTGCCTGGCTACCCAAACTCCTTGCTCGGGCCAAACGCTACACCACGCCCACAGACGTTAGTTTCTTCTCTGCAATGAGTCTGGATCTGAGTACCCCCCCGATGATTTCTAGAACACAAGCACATTCTAACCGTTCTGATTGGTCCCTGAAACCAATGGGTTGGGCCAGAGCCAGAAAACACGTGGGTAAAGCGGCGTTTTGAAAATTCGTCATTGGCTTTGATACGCTGATTGGTTAGAGATGATCCAATCACTGATGACTTTGTTTTGTACAACGCCCCCCATTTTGACATCACCAGGTTTTATTAGTATGTACGTGATACGGAGTGGTATACATAATCCAACGAAATGCTTACTTGCAGGTTCCTTCTCGACAATGCAACAACAATAAGAAATTATAAAAGATAAGAATACGAACGTAAAGTAATTAGCTCAGTAAAATTGAATATCATTTTTAGCATAAGTATAATAAAAGAAGGCACAATTTATAGTCCAATATTTACACGTGTATTGGGGAAGGGGGTGGATGGGGGGCAGTGTATAAACTGATCAGTATAATAAGAGTCTGGTAGCAGCAGTTGTGGTGTGTGTGTAGCATGAATGTATAATGTCTGTGTGGGTGTGTGCTACGGTGAGGAGAATCAGAGCATGTGGTCAGTTCAGTTCAAGTGTTCAGCAGTTTGATGGCTTGTAGATGCCAACAGCCTCAGAGACAGTTTCTATCAGACCTCATGCTCCGATACCGTCTGCCTGACGGTAAGGAAGAGAACAGCTCGTTGCTGGGGTGTGTGGGGTCCTTGATGATGCTGCGTGCCAGTGATGTACTGGGCCTTGCGTTCGTGGACGGAGCAAATCCCATACCAGGCCATGATGCAACCGGTCAGGACATTTTACATTTACATTTACATTTTAGTCATTTAGCAGACGCTCTTATCCAGAGCGACTTACAGTTAGTGAGTGCATACATAATTTTTTTATTTTTTCATACTGGCCCCCCGTGGGAATCGAACCCACAACCCTGGCGTTGCAAACGCCATGCTCCAACTGAGCTACATCCCTGGACGCTTTTGATGGTGCAACAGTAGTATTTGGAGAGGACCCTGGGCGGCATGACGAGTGGTGGTGGTGCCCTCTTGACAAGTTCTCGGTGATGTGGACGCAGAGAAACTTATAACTCGTGACTCTCAAATTGGAGTGGGTCCAGTGTGCCTGGCATACTGGCCTTGGTGTGGGCCATGACCAGCCTTTTGAAGCACTTCATAATGGCCGAGGTGAGAGCGACGGTGCAATAGTCATATGAGCATGTCACCTTATTTTTTTTCTTGGGCACTGGGACAATGGCAGTTGAGGACTACAGCCTGGGACAGGGACAGGTTGAGATGTCTGAGAAGACGCCCGCCAGCTGGTCAGCACACACTGAGGACGCGGCCAGGGATGCCATCTGGGCCGGCAGCTATGTGAGCATTCACTCTTTTGAGAGTTTTCCTCACGTCGGCCTCGGAGAGCGAAAGCACCTGGTTGTCCGGAGCGGCAAGAGTCTTCCTGGATGGCTCGGTATTGTCTGCCTCGAAGTGAGCATAAAAAATGTTAAGCTTGTCTGAGAGTGAGGCGTTGGTGGGCACCGCACAGCTGGATTTGCCCTTGAAGTCCTTGCCACGTGATGCGAGTCTGAGTTTTCAAACATCAATTCAAGAGTCTGTATTGTCTTTTTGCGTCCCTAATGAATTTGCGGAGCTCATACCTGCTTGCCTTGTACGTGTTGCGCGCCACTGAGTCATCGGGGTTCATTCTGCTGACATTGAATGCTGCAGTACGGGCCCTCAGCATTGTACGGATATCTCCGTTCATCCAGGGTTTTTGGTTGGGGCTTGTCCGGATTGTTATTGTGGGTACAACATCATCAATACATTTCCTAATGAAGCCTGTGACTGACAATGTATATTCCTCAATATAGATGGATTAGTCCTGGGTGGATGAAACTTTGAACATAAATAATCAGTATTCTCAAAACAATCCTGCAGCACCACAAACGACTTAAACGATGGCAGTCTCAGACTGAGGTATGTAGCGAACATAGAGCAGCGGAAGACTTCAGTTTGAGTTGTCAGGCAACCTAAAACAGGGACACATCGCTTTTTATTGAATTGCTTAGCTTGAGAGGGGTCAAAGTAATTGAATATCGATGGCTGAATGTTGCCATTGAGACTTTAGTGGCTGAGCTGTAGTAGTAGTGCTGGTTGAGCTTGTTATGCTTGTAGTGGAGCATCTGTCAGTCAGAAGCCATTGATTACAGCAGGACAGTGCTGACATTCTGCTGAGCAAAGGCTCGCTGTGCAGCAGAGAGTGGTGCAGCAATGGAAAGCAGGCAATGTTGGGCCAGTAATCGGTTCGAATCCCAAGCTGTCTAGGTGAAAAATGTAACCCTAATTGCTCCTGTAAGTCGCTCATGATAAGAGCCTCTGCTAAATGACTAAAAAGGAAACCCTGGTTCTACCGCTCAGCGCCGCATTAGTCTGGCTGGCTCACTGAGTCTAACTAGCTTTCACTGCCTGGGATGGGAGATACTCTCACTGTAGCAGAATATCGTGGTGATACCTGGAGTGGCTTCTTAGTTTGAGGATCTATCCAGTATCCATAGTCTGGTCTTGAACTGTGTATGTCCGACTATCTGTGTCTCTGTCTGTATCTGTCTGAGTGCGTGTCTGCATTGGATATGGACCTTATTGATACATATAATATATTATAGGCACCAGCCCCTTGGCTTGGCTGTGTTATTGCAATAGTGCACCTTCTGGCCTGGCATTGCTTTCTATTAGATCAGCTCTATAAAGAGACAGAGGGCCAGTTAGTGAAGTTTCCATGCCCAGCACTGGGTACTCTGCCTGCCTGAGCTACTCACAGCCCCTGTCATCCTGTATACAGTTGAAAATGGCAGATTATGTCATTGATAAGTGCCTAAATTGGAACACAGGGGCTGTACAGTAACATACTATACATGATGTCAGAGCTCAGGTTTTCCGACTCCACAGCGCTGTATGGGTTTTGACTGACAGACGTTATAATCTTGAGCACTGCATGCGACAGGAAGATGCCACCATCCCTCCCGCTAATTGCGCTACTTTTGCACATTTGTTGTTGTCTGAGTGAGGGAAATGCTGTAAATCGAGAGGAGTCGATGTGTTCTGAAAGATGAGACGTTGAAGATTATAATAAAAACCACTTTGATGTCGTACAAGCAAACCACACACCTATAAGTCCAAATGTGCACTTCACTTTTCCATTTTCCATTTACAGTATCAGCGTTTATGATCGCTATGTTTGCTCCACAGTTACAAGGATGGCATGGGTTATACCCTGGGTTGTCCTGAACAGAATGAGCCTATGTTTGTTGTATTGTGAAGAAAAGTAGCCGTGGAACACGCACCTGAATGCACTCATGACTCCATTCTGTGCGCACCAAAATTACAATCTGTCTGAAGTGCCTTTTGAAAGCCTAACACTGTATGATCGTATTTTATAACTTAGCTAGCCATGATGCCTACCTGACCCAGATTGTGATTTATAATGGAATGTTTTTGGATTGCGTAAACAACAACAGCAATTGTGTGATGGTGGGGATGCAGGGCTGTGTTCCAAACAAAAACCTACAAGTGTGCTTGCTTCAGTTCCTCAATGGCAAAGCTGGAAGATCAAAAAAAAAAAAGCACCTTTATAGTTGAAGGCTCTTTCCTTGAATCCTAAAAGTGCATTGAAATTACTTAGGAACTGTGCACAGTTTGGAGAGCTGTGTGGCCACCTGGAGACACCAGTTGGACCTCACTCAAACCTTTTGTAATAATCGTTTTTTATTATCTTGCACATACCTCAAAATGTCAATGAATACTTATGTTACTGAATGTATACAGAGTATTTTTTGATTTTCGTTATTGACAAATGCTGTGAAAGTACAGTAAATGTAAAAATGCACATAAAATCAAGTGTAATATTTTAGATTCTGTCTTGTCAGGTGAAGTGTTGTGTCCTTACCTTTTGGTCTAATAATTTTCCCATAATCTCCAAAGTGTTCCCTTTCAATTGCTACCATTGTATTGTATGCTTTTTATAGTTCTTCTGTTAGAAACATTTCAATTTGGCCCTATCCATATAGGCCAATTTCCACGGGTGTAAGGGGTTAATATATAATATATATAATATATATAATATACAAAGGAGATGATTGTGGACTACAGGAAAAAAAAGAGGACTGAGCACGCCCCCATTCTCATCGACGGGGCTGTAGTGGAACAGGTTGAGAGCTTCAAGTTCCTTGGTGTCCACATCACCAACGAACTATCATGGTCCAAACACACCAAGACAGTCGTGAAGAGGGCACGACAAAGCCTATTCCCCCTCAGGAGACTAAAAAGATTTGGCATGGGTCCTCAGATCCTCAAAAAATTCTACAGCTGCACCATCGAGAGCATCCTGACTGGTTGCATCACCGCCTGGTATGGCAACTGCTTGGCCTCTGACCGCAAGGCACTACAGAGGGTAGTGCGTACGGCCCAGTACATCACTGGGGCAAAGCTCCCTGCCATCCAGGACCTCTATACCAGGCGGTGTCAGAGGAAGGCCCTCAAAATTGTCAAAGACTCCAGTCACCCTAGTCATAGACTGTTCTCTCTGCTACCGCACGGCAAGCGGTACCGGAGTGCCAAGTCTAGGTCCAAAAGACTTCTCAACAGCTTCTACCCCCAAGCCATAAGACTCCTGAACAGCTAATCATGGCTACCCGGACTATTTGCACTGCCCCCCCACCCCATCCTTTTTACGCTGCTGCTACTCTGTTAAGTATTTATGCATAGTCACTTTAACTCTACCCACATGTACATATTACCTCAACTACCTCAACTAGCCGGTGCCCCCGCACATTGACTATGCAACGGTACCCCCCTGTATATATAGCCTCCCTACTGTCACTTTATTCTATTGTATATATAGCCTCCCTACTGTCACTTTATTTTTTACTTCTGCTCTTTTTTTCTCAACACTTTTTTGTTGTTGTTTTATTCTTACTTTTTTGTTTAAAATAAATGCACTGTTGGTTAAGGGCTGTAAGTAAGCATTTCACTGTAATGTCTGCACCTGTTGTATTCGGCGCATGTGAGCAATAAAATTTGATTTGATTTGATTTGATTTTATACACACACCACTCAGCCATCGCCCTGACACTCTATTTTTAGGGTGTCAACAAACAAAGATTAGCTTAATATTGTTTTCCTCGTGCCTGAAAAATTAAATTAGCTCAGTTTAAACTGTTGATCATAGTGGCTGTGTTGCTGGACATTAACATGACTATGCACCAGGCTGAGGCTGTCCATATCTGGACTCGTTGTTCAACTCTTTATTGTTCCACTGACCATCTGCCTTTGCTTCCCCTCCTCCTCAGTCACTACCATCCCACTTTCACTTATACGACCCCTACTCATAGACGTGCACACACACACACACACACACACACACACACGAGACCCTCAATAGACACACAGCCAAGTGAAAGGACCAGACTAACTCCAGTGTTACTTGATTGATGTTTTCATTCTCTCTCTCTCTCTTTCTTTCTCTCTCTCTCTCTCCCCCCTCCCCGTCTCCCTCATTCTCAGGGCAATTGTGGAGAAGTATCTCCTGGAGAAGTCTCGTCTGGTCTCCAGAGAGAAGAATGAGAGGTAAAGGGCAACAGCAGGGGTCATAATCTTTGATCTCAGTGACCCGTGGAGGCCCTCTGTACAAACAGAGGGAGAATCCCCTGGGTGTCTTTGATATTCAGTTAACATGCCATGTCCAAGGGTGACTCTCGGACCTAGACACATAATTAACTTTCTCCCCAGCCTGAATATGTACCAAAGAGTTGCATCAATATGGGACCTGATACTTATTTCTTTCAGGAATAAATATTTAATTTATAATTTATTTACCCATGATGAGGACCGTAGTCCTACTATTTCTACTACAAATGCCCTGGTTGGGGTTGGCATAGCCTATAAACAGAATGAACCCTTGTTCTCACTAGATGTAGTATTATATTGTCATGTACTACTCATGTTGTTACTCATATACCAACATGTGTCTGTTGAAATGGATCACCTCTGTTTGCCTATGAGTCTGCCTGTGTCTGTGATGTCAGCGAGACTCCGTAGTAAACATGGAAAGTCATTACGCCCGTGTGTTTTTACAACAATGCAAGCCGACCGGCCACCTGATAACAAGACTGGAAAAACTGATAGCAGCATTCACGCTCATTACTAGACTGGCACGTTATAGACACAGAGTCAATGTTGGGTCGGGAAAAAAGTACTACCATAGTGTTGACTTCTGATTGCCTTTATTTCACTATAAAAGAAGCCCCTTTTAAATAAATAAATGATTTATTCTTGCCACCTAAAAATATATAACCTTCACTCCACCAAATAACAAAGCGAAACAAATAACAAACGCGAAAACCACACTGTATCCACACACAAAACACATTTTACTGAACACACTAAACATTGTTTTGTGTCCCTGTAGGAACTACCATGTGTTTTACTATCTGCTGGTGGGAGCGTCAGAGGAGGAGCGCAAGGAGTTCAAACTGCTGCAGCCTGAAGATTACCTCTACCTCAAGCAGGTACCATACACACACACACACACACACACACACACACACACACACACCACGGAGGTAATGGCTGGAGCGGAATAAGTGGAACGGTATCAACAACATGGTTTCCATGTATTTGATGCCATTCCATTTGCTCCGTTCCAGCCATTATTATGAGCCGTCCTCCCCTCTGCAGCCTCCACTGTTGCGCGCACACACTGGATATACATACTCTACACAACCCCTGTTTTTCTTAGCACAGTACGCATATTTCTCTACCTCAAGCAGTATATATCCATTTACTGTACTATCTCCTACTAAATCTAGAGCCACATCCCCATTAGTTTATCCCTTATGTACCCTTAGCTGGTTTTCTGCTGTATTCTCTTGTGTAAGGTACCTTGATTCTCTTCCTCTACCAGATGCCCTTGAATAAATTTTGAATATAATCCTTTGTACCCTGATTCTCATTATATTCATGGGTTCTGTGTGTCATAATCATCTTTTTCCATGTACTTGGATTGGCTCAAGGTAACATTTCCCATCGGATTCAGTGGTAGTAAACCTGGTATGCGGTGTCATTGTCATGCAGTGAATGGCCTGCATATGCTCTCAGTTCTCCCAGTTTCCTGCCCATACGTGCAGTGCATGTTAATGAAACCCCCCCCCCCCCCCCCCCCCCCTCCTCTCCCCATTCTCCTCTCCCTCTCTCTGTGCAGCAAAACTTTAAGATAGAAGATGTAGAAGACCTGCGTCATGAATTTGAGAGGCTGCAGCAGGCCATGGAGATGGTGGGCTTCCTGTCTGCCACTAAGAAACAGTGAGTGAACATGCCATGGGCAGTCAATCTACACTACTTCTACACACCATTCCATCCCTTAAATGGCTGCCTAAAAGGCAAATAGGTCATATAGATTTGCATATACTGTAGTCTGTTGGCATTACTTGGATCCACTTGAATCTCCTGCACAATGTACAGCTCAGCAAACGTAGCCAGACAACCCTTTCCTCTGATGCAGTTGTTCCAGTAGTTGGCAGTGATGTGCATCCAATATGGCAGAACAGTAGACATGCTGTAGAAGGAGGGCCTGTTCTATTCATTGTGATTCTATGATAATGACGCTTGTCTGTCTGCTGCAGGATCTTCTCTGTGCTGTCGGCCATCTTGTACCTTGGCAACGTGACGTACAGGAGGAAGTCTACAGGCCGAGACGAGGGACTGGACGTGGGACCACCGGAAGTCCTGGCTACCCTCTCAGACCTGCTCAAGGTAACAATGGTTCTGCTCTGCTGCTCTAGTCTACACATCAATGAACGAGTAGTCTTTACTCAATATGTGTGGGGACTTTGGTCCCAGCCCAGACCTAACACTGATTCAGCAAAAAAATCATATTGATGAATTTGGGGAGCCTGCGTCTCAGTGTAGGAGTTCTGATCTAGGATCAGGCCCCTTGTTTATTTATGATGATCTAAAAGGACAAACTGATCCTAGATCAGCACTCCTGCTCCAAGGAGACAAGGGTGTTAAAACGGGCTCAGGAGTATTAGTGGTCCACTGAGACAAATGAAGTTGTGGTCCTCTGTAGCTCAGCTGGTAGAGCACGGCGCTTGTAACGCCAAGGTAGTGGGTTCGATCCCCGGGACCACCCATACACAAAAAAAAAATGTATGCACGCATGACTGTAAGTCGCTTTGGATAAAAGCGTCTGCTAAATGGCATATTATTATTATTATTATTATTATTATTATTATTATTATTATTATTAAGTTGAGTTTAAAGCATTGTAATAACCTAAACATGTGGCTAGGTATCTGTTTCATCATAACTTTGTGGTCCTCTGTAGCTCAGCTGGTAGAGCACGGCGCTTGTAACGCCAAGGTAGTGGGTTCGATCCCCGGGACCACCCATACACAAAAAAATGTATGCACGCATGACTGTAAGTCGCTTTGGATAAAAGCGTCTGCTAAATGGCATATTATTATTATTATTAACTAACATCCCCAAACAGTGAGTGTATACTATTATTGTCCACTGAAGATTTACATTTTACATTTACGTCATTTAGCAGACGCTCTTATCCAGAGCGACTTACAGTTAGTGGATACATTATTTTTTTTATTTTCATACTGGCCCCCCCGTGGTTCTCCCCAATGATTATACAGGATGCCTCCTCTCCACTAAATTAATGTATTTTTAATGTCGCAAGCCTTGAGAATTGTGAGTGTAACATCTCTCTCTGTGTGTGTGTGTGTGTGTGTGTGTGTGTGTGTGTGTGTGTGTGTGTGTGTGTGTGACCTCCCAGGTGAAAGAGGAGTTGCTGGTCGAGGCGCTGACTAAGAGGAAAACGGTGACAGTCAATGACAAGCTGATTCTGCCCTACAGCCACAGTGAGGTAGGCAACCATCGACCGATATTCAGGGCCTATCATTATCTTGCTGGGTTTATTCCCCAGGATAATTGTGTCATGTGTTTGTCTCCTCCTTTTCCCTGTGTGTCTGTCTCCTCCCTCGGTCTCATCTGTCTGTTTGTCTTTACTCCCATTCACCCCCCCCCCCCCCCCCCATCTGTAATTATCTCTCTATCTCATTCTGTTTCTCAGGCCATCACTGCGAGAGACTCCATGGCCAAGTCTCTGTACAGTGCCCTGTTCAACTGGATTGTCCTGCGCATCAATCATGCACTGCTCAACAAGAAAGACATGGAGGAATCTGTCCCGGTGAGAGAGAGAACACACACACACAACAGAACAGACCTAGGAATGCAGCTCAAGAGTTCCCCCCTCCATGTTTCGGCATCGTCAAGGCCAGACATGTCGGCAGATCCCCAGAAATAACTACGCAATGAACTATAAAAAAAAATGAACTAACCAGAGCTCTAGTATTTCTAACTGACCTACTGTATGTCTTTTTTCTGTTCCAGTGTTTGTCAATAGGGGTCCTGGATATATTTGGCTTTGAGGACTTTGAGACCAACAGCTTTGAGCAGTTCTGTATCAACTATGCAAACGAGCAGCTTCAGTATTACTTCAACCAGCACATCTTCAAACTTGAGCAGGTGAGTTGGCCCTGGGTGCCTCTCATTGAAATATAATCTATGTCATTCTATTTCTATGGTGCCTCTCTGTAAAGACAGTATAACAGCCCTGATCCTATGTCTTGATCCTATGGGAGACCCGTGGGGCTGCGCACAAATGGCCCAGCGTCGTCCAGGGTAGGGGAGGGAATGGCCGGCAGAGATGTAGCTCTGGGTTCGATTCCAGTATGAAAAACATAAAAAATAATGTATGCACTCTGGATAAGAGCGTCTGCTAAATGACTAAAATGTAAATGTCTTTAACTCTGACCGTGTTATTGGTCCATTGCAGGAGGAGTACCAGGCGGAGGGCATCACCTGGCACAACATAGACTACACTGACAACGTGGGCTGCATCCACCTCATCAGCAAGAAGCCCACTGGTCTCCTGTACCTACTGGACGAGGAGAGCAAGTAAGGACTTCAAGCCTTTTTTCCATATTCCACAAAAGGGGATCGTTCACCCAAAACTCATTGATCTTCATGGGCCAGAAGTGACTGCAGCCTAAACATTTGCTTTGCTTTGCTACATAGTTGTCTAGAAGCGGCAATAATGTACATTTTAGATGAGATGCAGGTTGAAACGGTATACGTCTCCTCCCTCTGCTCTCCTCCTCTCACGCTCTCTCCCTCGCTCCAGCTTCCCCCACGCCACTGATAAGACCCTGCTGGCCAAGTTTAAGCAGCAGCACCAGGAGAATAAGTACTTTGTGCCCACGCCTGTGATGGAGCCTGCCTTCGTCATCCACCACTTTGCTGGGAAAGTCAAATACCAGATCAAGGTAGGGATGGATGGACCCCCACCCACCAACATGGTCACAGACTCCCTGTTTACTATCATGTAATGTCTAGGGGGTTGAGGGAGGTTTCTTGCATTTGTGTAACTGTTCATTGTTATTGACATCATCTAATTATTGTTCAGTGTATTAATAATCTTAGCGGCGACTCTAAAATGGCCTCAACATGCTAACCGTCTCCTGTGACTCTCTCCTGGCAGGACTTCCGGGAGAAGAACACGGACCACATGCGTCCGGACATTGTGGCTCTACTGCGCAGCAGTGACCGGGCCTACGTGCGTCAGCTGATCGGGATGGACCCTGTGGCCATGTTCCGCTGGGGCATCCTGCGAGCCACCATCAGGGGAATGGCTGCCTTCAACGAGGCTGGACGCCGTTGGGCCGCCAAGACCGCAGGTACATATACACCTGGAGCAGTAGTACAATACAGGTACATATACACCTGGAGCAGTAGTACAATACAGGTACATATACACCTGGAGCAGTAGTACAATACAGGTACATATACACCTGGAGCAGTAGTACAATACAGGTACATATACACCTGGCGCAGTAGTACAATACAGGTACATATACACCTGGAGCAGTAATACAATGGGCAGCTGATTGTATAGGTATACACATGCTTTAGACACCATAGGAGTCTAAAGCCATGTCTCAGAGTTAGAACTGTACCCATACACAGTAACCAACAATTGCAGTAGGCTTACTTGTTTGCTTATTTCGTTTAGCAGGGCTGGGGGGGGAAACGTGAGGCTTTTGAAATGTCAGGTTTTTCCCTGCAAGCCTCAGTCATTATCCGCTAGATAATTTTTGTTGTGTTGACTAGATGAGAAAAGTGGCCCATTGACGTAAGAGGCTATTTTAATAGGGATTAATGGGATTAAATAAAATAAAGGAAAAACAAAGCAGGGAAATGGCCCCTGGAAGGACTCAACTGGATTATTCTGCTGTTTTTTGACAAGCAGGAGTCATGCGGTGCACTCTTTTGTCCTCGTAGAACCTCTAGGCATCTAATCTAATGATGTGTGTGTCTGTGCATTTATGTCTGTGTGTGTTTGACAGGTGTGCAGCGCACCACTTCCAGGACTCTTTTGGGGGAGCTGCAGAGGTCCAACACGCCTGTAGAAAGGATGTACCGGTAAGGCCCAGGTCCTCTGACAGAGGGACACACAGGGAAGGAGGGAAACGACATTTGGCCCAATATCCACATTTCCATACCACTTAGAAAGAAGTGATGTATTGGCCATGCATAGGGCCCTCGTGTATTTTTCCTGTCAGGTCACATGGTCACAAAAAATGTCTGTCCCTAGCCATGCATACTAGATAGGATGTTATTGTGGAAATTGAGACATACTCTGGGAGTGTTGTGAAATGGGCCATCTTCCTCTCCTCCACTGTTGTTTTGGGTGTGATGTCGTGATTGACAGATGGGTCTTTCTCTCCCCTGAGGCACACGGCAGGTGTTCAGTCATTATAATCCACCAGAGCGCCTGTGGAGCAAAAGCCCAAGGACAATGCCTCAATCTTCTATCAGAAATCCACTTTAAATGCACAACCTGACTACCTTGATCCAAGACCAAGTCATCTCATTGAATCTATACTATACAGACAAAAGATTGTATTTAGGATTAACCAGAATAACTTAAATCAGTTTGCCATACAATAACAAGCCCCTTACTAGTCCCTGATTGGGGCCCTCTCACAGAGAACACATTGTGATTTGTGGATTTGGTCATCAATCACATTTGACATCACAAGGTCTTTTAAGAAATCCATTTGTCACAAAGATGACAAATGAAAGGGTGAGCATCCGTACTGTGGGATGCGTGTCGCTGCACCTAGGATGACATGAAACAGGATTAGACATTGATATCATGATTATGAATCACAAGATTGTTCAGGAAGTGTATCTGTACTTGGAGCCAAATGAATCTCCCACTAGGCCCCCAGTAAATGGAACTGAATGAAACTATTGAAACAGTTGGCTCCCATGTGTGCTTCCTAATCTCTTGTATGACATAAGCTCTGTCATATCCATAGAAATAGAATAATATCTCTGGTGGAATGAATCCTCCTTCATCTCATCCTGGCCCCTGCGTTGTTTCCCCTGCCCCTGGGTGACCCCGTGTGCTGTTCTCTTCCCTCAACAGACGGGCTTCTATGCTCGATTTCTACTTTGATCACTCTGACGAGCGCCCACTAGAGGCCTTCGAAGACATCTTTGCTAGCTATGAGAGTAAGAAGTAAGTGGACTGGAGGAGAGCAGGAGGAAGGATGGAGGGAGGTCAAGCAGGAGGAAGGATGGAGGGAGGTCAAGCAGGAGGAAGGGACAGTATTGTTTTTATGGGCAGTTAGTCTCTGGCTCATTCCCGCTCTGAGTTTGCTCATATTCATAATGTCAGCGATACACAAGACACTCTACGTCATGAAGGCTTGCAGCAGGCATAGGTTTCTTTAGTTTGCAAAGGAAGTCCTAATATGAAACGTGCAGAGTCAGACTACAGAAATAGACTTCATAGAAACATCAAACACATAAAACATTTTCCTTTCTAATTATCAACGATTCGTTCTTATTCTCTTCCCCCTTTCTAGCCCTGTATTTTCCACCACATTGCTCTCTTTACTCTCTCCCCCTCTTTCGCTCTCTCTGTTTCTCTCTCCAACTCTCAGCCACGGTAATCTGTCTCTTCACCCTGGTTTATTATTGTTAATGTAGAACACAGGAAGGTCTTAGTGCTGCCCTGGTCTGATAATCTACTGATTACTGGGAGGAAACTGGAAAGTCTGTGCACACTAAAATATGGTAGTCCAGCATTAAGTACATAATAAACAGTAGTAGTAAAGTTTTGTTAATGAAACAGGTCAGGGAAAATGCTATACATCTCAGGTCCTGGAATAGTAGTGATGAGGTAGGAAATGTAATAAACAATTGCCTGTGGAGAAAGTTGAATGCGTCATTGTAGTTTCTAAATGGACCAAAAGCCCCTGTTCTAATATGAGCATTCTCTGAGAGGAACTGAGCAGTAGTGTGAAAACCACCCCTAGCTCCTTCCTTAGGCCCTACCCCTTATGTGTTTGCAGATAGGATAGGTGTTAGTAATATGGGGATAGCTCCACCTAGGCTTTTGATTAGCTTAGGGGAGGTTCCTCCATACTGTTTCCACCTATCTGGTTCCTTCAGACCTCAAAATACTGAAGACGTCAGGTCTAGGGGCTGTTTTTGGACTGGGCTAGTTTGTCTATGGTACCTTTACTTATGGCCCGTCCCTTCCTGCCTGACCTCCCTTGGTTTATTGATCAGAGTGGTAAGTACAGTAATGCATGGATCCAGTTCTGAGTGCAGAGGAACAGCCATCTTAACAACACCAGTCCTCCCCAGTTTACCATCAGTATAACACCAGTCCAATGACCAATCCCAGTCGCCAGCAGTGTAACACCAGCATGGAGAAAAGATGTCAACCACTGAAGCTTTGATTCAGGAATGCATGCTCACAATACTTACTTACAGGAGTATGGTGTGTGAGAACATCCACTCAATGCACAACCTCTCGGTCTCTACACTTTCTACTGCAGCAATAGCTGGGTGGTCTGAACTGAAGTGACATTGTCCCACATGTTAAACAGCAGTTTTACATGCTCTCGATTTCAGACCTCTAACTGTTCTGTGTGTGTGTTTCTCTTGGGAAGTGGGCGCTTTGGTGGTGGGGTGTTTTCTGTCTTTCGAGGTGTCCTAACAGCGGTGTTCCTACATCCCCTGCCCTCCCCTTATGCCCCGTGCCCAACCCCCCTTCCCCTCTCCTCCCCATGTCTCCTACCCACCGTCGTCCTCACCCACTGTGGCCCTTGCTGGGTTGAATCAGGGACATGCATGCCCAGATAATCAGTTCCATTAAGGACTTGCAGCTGGACGGTGAGGACCCTCGCAAGCTGCTGCAGTCCTGGGGTCGCCTGCGGTTCCCTCGACACCTCCTTCAGTGAGTCTGTAGCCCTGGCCCCTTCCAGCTCAGTCCAGCCCAGCCCAGCTCGGTCTAGCAAGTCTAACCCTGCTTTAACAGTGTTCAACCTTAATCCTCCTGGGGCAACATTTTGTTCCAGCACTAGCACACCTGATTTGACTACAAAAAAATAAATCCTATTCCAAAACGGCAACAGAATTATGTCTTCACCTCACATGGTTGTTAAAACTCTCAACCCGAGACAGACAGTTTAAGACACAGGCTAGGTAATTAGCTGTTTGAGACCACACCTCACGAAAAATGCACCTCCGAACAAAGAACTCCTCACAGGAATCCTAGTTATTTGCAGAAGGCTACCCAACAACACAAGGCTGCTCGTGATAGTGGAATGCAAGGCCCAGAGAGACTGGGTCCCAATGTGATGTTGATTAGCATGAAGCTGATGCTGTAATGCAACAAGGCTTTTGCCCATATGGGCTATAATGGAGATGCAGAGGCCTTGATGAAAGCTGAGGATGCAATGATGGCTTGAATATCAGCTGCTGCATGAACAAGGACATTACTCACATTAATGCATTGGCTTCTAGATAAAACTGTGTAGGAATGTGTCTAAAAGAAGTCTAAAAGAACGTAAAAATGTGTTATAAATGATAGTTTCTTTAACTTATATAGAACTATAGTTGTTGGGTATAGCCTATGCAAGTATTTTCAACACACAGTCAAGAAACAAAACAAAAGTTGACAAAGTGTTGTCGGCACGTAGCAACAGTTCCCAAGGCTGATATAAGGCTCAATATGTAGTGATGAAAACAAGACGGGCTGGCTGATTGGTTGGCTAGGTTCCCCCTTCCCTCCATCCTTCAACCCCCCTCCTCCATCATCCCCCCCCCTCCCCAGCCCTTGTCATCCCACCCATACTCCAGGTGCAAGCCCTCACGCCTCACTGACTGAGCATGACTTAACATACTAACAACACGGCTTGCCCCTACACTCACCCGTAGACCTCCTCAGCGACGTCTCTGAGCTGAGCCTCTCTCACTGACCTATCTCTCCCCCACAGGAAAAACAAGAACGCCAAGCAGAAACAGATCATACCCAAGGTAAACTTCATACATCATACATATGCCAGCTATGTGCACTCATACATTAATATAATTTGAAATATAAACGTAATATACAATCCGAGATATATATCTTGAAATATGAGATCACGAAATCATCTGATAGAAAATGTTCCATATACACTCACCGGACAGTTTATTAGGTACACCCATCTAGTACCGGGTTGGATCCCGCTTTTCCTCCAGAACAACCTGAATTCTTCCGGGCATGGATTATACAAGTCGAAAGCGTTCCACAGGAATGTTGGTCTATGATGACGTGATGGCATCACGCAGTTGCTGCAGATTGGACGGCGGTACACCACCGCCACCAGCCTGTACTGTTGACACCAGGTAGGATGGGTCCCATGGACTCATGCTGCTTACGCTAACTCCTGACTCTGCCATCAGAATGACACAACAGGAACCGGAATTCATCGTACCAGGCAATGTTTTTCCACTCCTCAAATGTCCGGTGTTGGTGATCGCGTGCCCACTGGAGCCACTTCTTGTGTTTTATAAAAATATAAACGCAACATGTAAAGTGTTGGTCCCATCCATGTTTCATGAGCTCTGAAAGAAAATATCCCAGAGATTTTCCATATTCACAAAAAGCGTATTTCTCTCAATTGTTTACATCCCTGTTGGTGAGTATTTCTCCTTTACCAAGATAATCCATCCACCTGACAGGTGTGGCATATCAAGACATGATCATTACACAGGTGAACCTTGTGCTGGGGACAATAAAAGGCCACTAAAATGTGCAATTTTGTCACACTGTTGCCAGAGAATTTGATGTTAATTTCTCTACGTCGTTTTAGAGAATTTGGGAGTACATCCGACTGGCCTCACAACCGCAGACCATGTGTTTGGCGTCATGTGGGCGAGCAGTTTGCTGATGTCAACGTTGTGAACAGAGAGCACCATGGTGGGGTTATGGTATGGGCAGGCATAAGCTACGGACAACAAACACAATTGCATTTTATTGATGGCAATTTGAATGCAAAAAAATACCGTGACGAGATCCTGAGGCCCATTGTGAGGCCCATTTTTTAAAAAGGTATCTGTGACCAACAGATGCATATCTATATTCCCAGTCATGTGAAATCCATAGATTAGGACCTAATAAATGTATTTCAATAGACTGATTTCCTCATATGAACTCTAACTCAGTAAAATCTTTGAAATGGTTGCATTTATATTTTTGTTCAGTGTATTTTCTGTGAAGGAAAACTATAGTTGCACGTCCATGATCACTCTATTGAAGTAAAAAAAACACTGTTGAATTTCAATATAAAATGCCACTCCTGTTGTGCTATTTACAAACAAACACGTGACTGGCTCAACTGTTCTGGAAAACTACAGTAAGCTTCATATTGTAAACAAATCTAACTGGTTTAATGAAGAACCCGATCTGCTTTATCTCCTAATATATTGCACAAGTTGACTGCAGGTATTTACTTAAAAAGTAGCTACAAATATTAAAAAGTTATTGAAAAACTTCAAATATATATTCAATGGTATTGACAGTTTGAAAAACTATCCAAATACACTGGTATACCGAACCTACGTCGCATCATTCTCAGGAAACCCTAGACGCGTGAAAAGCCCAGGAGGGCTGCCATTTCTGAGATACTGGATCCGGCGTGCCTTGCACCGACTATCATACCACGCTCAAAGTTGCTTAGGTCACTTGTTTTGCCCATTCTAACGTTCAATCAAACAGTAACTGAATGCCTGTCTGCCTGCTGTATATAGCAAGACACGGCCACTTGACTCACTCTGTAGGAGTGATCATTTTTTGTGAACTGGGGGTGTACCTAATAAACTGGCCGGTGGGTGTATGTCTTCTTTCAAAATATTTAATTTGACTCAGAGTATCAATGAGACTGTTGTGCTATCTGCAGACATTTAGAACTCTGTGATGTTGATGCTGTTCCTTAGAGCCTTCTGGACTCTCGCTCCCTGAAGTTCATCGTCGGTCGGACCATCCACGACCGCTCCACCAAGTCTCTGCATCACCTCAACAAGAAGAAGAAGACCCCCAGCATCAGCGCTCAGTTCCAGGTCAGCTGATCTCATCAGCAAATACCACAGACACTAACATACACCTGCAAATACACAGCCACCCTTCACACACTGCAAACTTCATACAATGCAGATGCAGAACATGGTGAAATGTTTATTTGTTGAGGTAAGTTTTAATTGACATGAAATCTCTTTTACATTGACAGACCTCTCTGACAAAGCTGCTAGAGAATCTGGGCAGAGCAGAGCCCTTCTTCATCCGCTGTATTCGCTCCAACTCTGAGAAGGTAAAGTTACTTTACTAAAAACATGTTTTACAAGAGTTGGAGTTTGAATTTTTTTCAAGTTTCACTCCACAATGATACAATAGTTGACAATCCAAAATCAGCTGTCATAGTAAAACATGGTACAGTTTCATTAGGTGTCATCTATAACACATGATCATCTACAGTGGGTAGTATTTGATACACTGACGATTTTGCAGGTTTTCCTACTTACAAAGCATGTAGAGGTCTGTAATTTTTATCATAGGTACACTTCAACTGTGAGAGACGGAATCCAGAAAATCACATTGTATTATTTTTAAGTAATTAATTTGCATTTTATTGCATGACATAAGTATTTGATACATCAGAAAAGCAGAAGTTAATATTTGGTACAGAAACCTTTGTTTGCAATTACAGAGATCATACGTTTCCTGTAGGTCTTGACCAGGTTTGCACACACTGCAGCAGGGATTTTGGCCCACTCCTCCATACAGACCTTCTCCAGATCCTTCAGGTTTCGGGGCTGTCGCTGGGCAATACAGACTTTCAGCTCCCTCCAAAGATGTTCTATTGGATTCAGGTCTGGAGACTGGCTAGGCCACTCCAGGACCTTGAGATGCTTCTTACGGAGCCACTCCTTAGTTGCCCTGGCTGTGTGTTTCGGGTCGTTGTCATGCTGGAAGACCAAGCCACGACCCATCTTCAATGCTCTTACTGAGGGAAGGAGGTTGTTGGCCAAGATCTCGCGATACATGGCCCCATCCATCCTCCCCTCAATACGGTACAGTCGTCCTGTCCCCTTTGCAGAAAAGCATCCCCAAAGAATGATGTTTCCACCTCCATGCTTCACGGTTGGGATGGTGTTCTTGGGGTTGTACTCATCCTTCTTCTTCCTCCAAACACGGCGAGTGGAGTTTAGACCAACAAGCTATATTTTTGTCTAATCAGACCACATGACCTTCTCCCATTCCTCCTCTGGATCATCCAGATGGTGTATTGGCAAACTTCAGACGGGCCTGGACATGCGCTGGCTTGAGCAGGGGGACCTTGCGTGCACTGCAGGATTTTAATCCATGATGGCGTAGTGTGATACTAATGGTATTCTTTGAGACTGTGGTCCCAGCTCTCTTCAGGTCATTGACCAGGTCCTGCCGTGTAGTTCTGGGCTGATCCCTCACCTTCCTCATGATCATTGATGCCCCACGAGGTGAGATCTTGCATGGAGCCCCAGACCGAGGGTGATTGACCGTCATCTTGAACTTTTTCCATTTTCTAATAATTGCGCCAACAGTTGTTGCCTTCTCACCAAGCTGCTTGCCTATTGTCCTGTAGCCCATCCCAGCCTTGTGCAGGTCTACAATTGTATCCCTGATGTCCTTACACAGCTCTCTAGTCTTGGCCATTGTGGAGAGGTTGGAGTCTGTTTGATTGAGTGTGTGGACAGGTGTCTTTTATACAGGTAACGAGTTCAAACAGGTGCAGTTAATACAGGTAATGAGTGGAGAACAGGAGGGCTTCTTAAAGAAAAACTAACAGGTCTGTGAGAGCCGGAATTCTTACTGGTTGGTAGGTGATCAAATACTTATGTCATGCAATAAAATGCAAATGTATTACTTAAAAATCATACAATGGGATTTTCTGGATTTTTGTTTTAGATTCCGTCTCTCACAGTTGAAGTGTACCTATGATAAATATTACAGACCTCTACGTGCTTTGTAAGTAAGAAAACCTGCAAAATCGGCAGTGTATCAAATACTTGTTCTCCCCACTGTATACATTATTGGTATCAGTTATTATATATTACATCATCCATACATGTGTATTCATAAACAAAAACAAAGAACAGTAGCTAAAAGGACATTTAGGCTACTACGTATAACCAAGATGATGATGATAAATGTTTGAGTTTGTTCCTCTAACGACGTGCTGTGTATCTGGGGGCGGCTGGTAGCTTAGTGGTTAAGAGCGTTGTGCCAGTAACCGAAAGGTCGCTGGTTCTAATCCCCGAGCCGACTAGGTGAAAAATCTGTCTGTGCCCTTGAGCAAGGCACTTAACCCTAATTGCTCCTGTAAGTTCCTCTGGATAAGAGCGTCTGCTAAATGACTAAAATGTAAATGTATCTGTGTGAGTGCAGAAAGAGATGTGCCTGAACGAGACCCTGGTGCTGCAGCAGCTGCGCTACACAGGCATGCTGGAGACGGTTCGCATCCGAAGGTCTGGCTATGGAGCTAAGTACATCTTCCAGGTACACTGCACCTCTTCACTGACTCAGATAGCCAGTAGACACCAGGAAGGAAGCAATATCTGTTGTTGATTATTTACCAATAGCTAACTCCGTAACTTGTACATGTATACTGAACAAAAGTATAAAAGCAACATGTAAAGTGTTGGTCCCATGTTTCATGAGCTGAAATAAAAGATCCCAGAAATTTTCCATACGCACAAAAAGCTGATTTCTGTCAAATTTTGGTCACAAATTTGTTTACATCCGTGTTAGTGAGCATTTCTCCTTTTCAAAGATAATCCATCCACCTGACAGGTGTGGCATATCAAGAAGCTGATTAAACAGCATGATCATTACACAGGTACACCTTGTGCTGGGGACAATAAAAGGCTACTCTAAAATGTGCAGTTTTGTAACACTACACAATGCCACAGATGTCCCAAGTTTTGAGGGAGCGTGCAATTGACATGCTGTCTGCAGGAATGTCAACCAGAGCTGTTGCTATATAATTTTATGTTAATTTCTCTACCATAAGCCGCCTCCAACGTCATTTTAGAGAATTTGGCAGTACGTCCAACCGGCCTCACAATCACAGACCACGTGTAACCACGCCAGCCCAGGACCTCCACATCCGGCTGCTTCACTTGCAAGATCGTCTGAGACCAGCCACCCGGACAGCTGATGAAACTGTGGGTTTGCACAACCGAATAATTTTTGCACAAACTGTCAGAAACCATCTCAGGGAAGCTCATCGGCGTGCTCATCTTCCTCACCAGGGTCTTGACCTGACTGCAGTTCGACGTCATAAGAGACTTCAGTGGGCAAATTCTTACCTTCAATGGCCACTGGCATTCTGGAAAAGTGTGCTGTTCACGGCCGAATCCCGGTTTCAACTGTACCGGGCAGATGGCAGACAGCGTGTATGGTGTTGTGTGGGCGAGTGGTTTGCTGATGTCAACGTTGTGAGCAGAGTGCCCCATGGTGGCGGTGGGTTATGGTATGGGCAGGCATAAGCTACGGACAACAAACACAATGGCATTTTATCGATGGCAATTTGAATGCACAGATATACCTTGACAAGATCCAGAGGCCCATTGTCGTACCATTCATCCGCCGCCATCACCTCATGTTTCAGTATGATAATACATTGCCCCATGTCGCAAGAATCTGTACACAATTCCTGGAAACCGAAAATGTCCCAGTTCTTCCATGGCCTGCATACTCACCAGACATGTCACCCCTTGAGCATGTTTGGTATTATCTGGATTGACGTGTATGACAGCGTGTTCCAGTTCCCACCAATATCCAGCAACATCGCACAGCCATTGAAGAGTTGGACAACATTCCACAGGCCACAATCAACAGCCTGATTAACTCTTTGCGAAGATGTGTCGTGCTGCATGAGGCAAATGGTCACACCAGAGACTGACTGGTTTTCTGATCCACGCCCATACCTTTTTTTTAAGGTATCTGTGACCAACAGATGCAGATATGTATTCCCAGTCATGTGTAATCCATAAATTAGGGCCTAATGAATTTATTTCAATTGACTGATTTCCTTAAATGAACTGTAACTCAGTAAAATCTTTTAAATTGTTGCCTGTTGCGTTTATATTTTTGTTCAGTATAAGAAGGAAAATGTTTATTGTGTCAATGCAGACACAAATTACTTATGCGAAATTCATGACAGACACATAATTGTCCACTACACGATTTTGTATACAGTGCATTTCAATCACAGATAAAGGCAGTAGGTTACTTTATACAGAAATGATAGGAGGGAGGTTGGTCGGGGAGGATGGGTGGGTTTATAATCTGAAGGTCTAGCAATTTCAAATAAGTAGTTTGTGTCTATTTCACAAAAACCTGTGATTGTGTTGGTCAACCAACTAAATACGTTTTATAAATGTGTCCCTATAGGAATTCATTGAGCAATTCCGAGTGTTGCTGCCCAAAAATGCCACACCCTCCAAGCCAGAGGACATCTCAGCCTTGTTCCAGAGGATGAATCTAGACCACACCACCTACCAGATAGGCAAAACCAAGGTTAGACAAGCGCTCCTTCGCTCTTTTCACTCAGAAACCTCACTTTCCTATGATATGTTAAAGATATAGGAAATAGTGGTGATACTTTCTAAACTATTAACATAAGTAAAATGGACAGGTAGCCTATTTTCCCCAGAGAGATATAATAAGATGTACAGTTTTCTCTTATGTATCTCTTGAATTAAATTGCGATCCTCAGGTTTACCTGAAGGAACTAGAGCGTCAGCAGCTGCAGGACATGCTGCACAAGGACGTGATGCGTAAGATCATCTTCCTGCAGCGCTGGTTCAGGGCCCACCTGGAGAGGAGGTACTTCTTGGAGATGAGACAGGCGGCCATCTTGATCCAGGTAAGCTGTGTGATAACCCATCCTGTAGGTGTAACGCCATAAAACTGTCTGTACAGAAAAGGCACGGATGTCAGTTCAAAGTTATTACTTTTCCCTATATGGACTGCCTAGAAAACTATAATTTTCTGTGTCTATTTCTTACAAAGAAATGCATATAAATTGTCCAATAGCCTTCCTATATGAGACAATCATATTTCTGCAGACAGGCTAATAATGTGTTCTTGCCCCTGTTCGTCCCTCCTAGCGTGCATGGCATAGGCACCACAAGGAGAGACGGTGTCAGGCAGCCACACTGATTCAGGCCGTTTGGAGGGGCTCTAGACAGAGATCAGAGTACCTCCGCAGGCGGACCAACATCAAGAAAATACAGGCTCTGGCCAGAGGACACTCAGCACGGAGGAGGTACAGCACCAGGCTACACCACTGAAATACTTCTTGTAGTATTTATATAGTTTGAAATGCTTCGAGTTACTGGTAAACATTGACTAAGTGATTATTAACACCATCTCATGAATTCTGGTACTAGTGTTGTCAGAATCCCCACAGTCATTTGTTACAAATACTTAGAAAATGCTATGAGATGCCTAACATTGTGATATGGATATTGAACCACCTCTGAATTATGTTGGACTTTACAGGTGCCATTCAATACGGGAGGACAAGAGGAAAAAGGAGGATGAAGAAGAGGAGGCCAGGAGGAGGGCAGAGGAAGAGGCAGCCAGGCTAGTGAGAGAGGCAGAAGAGGAGGCAGCCCGACTGGAAATGGAGGCAGAGGAAGTGGCATATAGGAGAAAGAAAGAGGCAGAGCGGGAGGCAGCGGAGAGGAGGGCGAGGGAGAATGAGGAGGCACGGCTGAGGCAGGCAGAAAGGGTCAATGAGGAACCTGAGACACAGGAGGAACCAGAGGCACAGGTGGCAGCTGAAAGGACTCTAGATGAGAGCCGACATTGGGACAAAGTGCCTGTCCAGGACAAGGAGGAGCAGAGGGAGGAAGTGGAAGATGGCGAGGCTGCAGCTAGTTCACCTCCCGAGAAGGTGGGAAAGCGGGATGCCTCTGCAGTCTCCCAGCCTAATAAGGGCAACAGTACACAGGCTGAGGCTGGGCCCCAGCCAGAGGATGAGAGCCAGGCTGTGGAGGAACTGGAGGAAGCCCACTCCGAGGAGCCCGAGGAGGAGGGGACCACAGAGGCAGCTGCCCCCCAGTCACCAGAGAGATACAAGGGGGCTCAGGCGGCTGCGGAGGCTTCCCCCTCCACAGACCCCCAGTCGGGGCAGAAGAAACTACGACCTCCCCCCCTCCACAAGGCCCCAGCCTCCAGGAGCCAGGAGAAGAGAGAGCTGCGGCGCCAGCGGGGCCTGGAGCACAGCCAGAGAGAGAGTGAGCGGGTCGCCTCGGCAGCCACCAAGGAGGAGCCCGCCCCTAAGGTCATGGATCAGGAGGCAGCCAACCGAGCCGAGGGAAAGCCAAAAGGCCGGCCTGAGCGGACGGACAGCAAGGAGATGGACCAGTACACCTTTGTAGCCTGGAAGAAAGAAGACAAGGGGAAGAAGGAAGCCAAAGCCGCCACCCCTGCACCTATACGCCCCAGCACCTTACACCTGAACCCCCCTGAGCCAATGGCTAACAGGAACGGCCATGAGGTCCTGGGTCCAGGCAACCTGACTCGCTACAGCCAACAGGACGCCATGAAGGAGAAGGCAGAGAAATGGAAGGAGAGGAAGATTGATGTACGACAACCAGAGAGTACCAGTCCTCCTGAGGCCCACAGCAAGGACAGGATAAAAAAACATTCACAGTACGACGTTTCATATCCTTCTGATATCTACACTAATATGAATTAGTTATACTTGCTTCAGGATGTTATTGTATTTGCAACATGAGGAAGGACTGATGATTCTCCCAGTTATGATCATGAATTTCCCTCATATCTCTATCCCACTTTATTTCCAGGAGTGGTGGAAACTCTTCATCTCTTGATGCTATGTCCCCTGGATTGGCTGGTGCTACTTCAAACAGAGAGGTAACATGCTCATTGCTCTAGTATTATACCCACCGTGTTGTGTGCCTTGCCTTTCTTATTAACTGTTATTTTCATCAAATATGAGAGCAGCACATCAGATCTGAACAGGCTGAAGCTAGCCAATCACATCCTTCCTGCATGGCATCTGAATGGAAGCTCAAAGTGTCGTTGTGCTTTTCTGGCTAGGTCAGAGCACGTTACCGTAAACGTTCCAAACACAATCGTCGGCTAGCTCGTAGACGCTCGCCTTTTAAGAAAAGTGCAGAAATGGAGGATGTGGCGTATTGGACCTGCTTCCCTTTGTCCCCTGTGAGCCCAAGCAGGCCCTTGCACTCAAAGTCCATGGATAAGGTATAATCACAAAGCCAGAGCACAGCTTGCCACCTCAGAGTAACTGAGCCCTGCCAGCCAAAGCAAACCTGGTGCGTCCTCGCACACCTTTGGCTCTTTATCTTTGGACTCTATTTTCTGACCTTTTCTGCCATAGTGTTTAACCCCATCATCATACACTTCCTTAGATGTAACACAGAACATAATAAAGAGGCTTAGGAGTGTATACACTCCAGGGTTGATCAACTCCACAATGAAACCCTTTCTGGTCGACCGTCATGATTTAGCTGTTTCGTCACAGGTTGGGCTAGCCATGTGGTTCATAATGGGCTATTTCACCCAGCAGTTAATCTTATTTGATCAAATGTCATGTCCATGGCAGCAAAAACAATGAGTTGTATCATGGCTACCATTTTGCCAGACTCTTACTGTAACTGTGTGCCAGTATATTTGCATCTACATTCAGCAGTGTTATTGGACAATAACAAACACAACTCTCTCATTTTCCAATTGAATGATTCATTTGTTATTTAAATAACAAGTGGTCCCAGATTATTTGGGGACTTGACTCAATAATGATTTGGCTTTCCCAAAATCCACCACAAAAAAAGGTAAATGTGCTGATGGGAATAAACATGGGTGTATTTTTCAGGTGATAAAATGATAACGTCATCCATAATTTGTGTATCGATTATGAGTAGTGGTGAACTTTTAAGGTAGTTGTCCCCAAGATTGGTTGTTTGTGGAAGTTGGCTACTCATGGAAATCTTTGGAAGTTGTGTAGGTGGGGTTTTCATGGAAGTTTATTGGTTGCTGTTGTGTTGGGGCCATTCTTGATTGCTGGAAATGTAATCTCTCTTTCCTATCACAACTGGAACAAGGCCTGGGCTTTTGAACACCTGCTCAATGGGTAGGGAATTATACAGTATAGTTTGGTTCCTCACATTGTTCTTATTTCTTTTCTCCTTGTATCGCCAGTCTCCTACAGAGGATGGGTCAAAGGGCAGCATGAAGAGGAGGACCCATGACACCTCAGGCCACCAGGACACTGTCCACACTCACCCCTCCACCCCAGAGAGGTACGGTGCTTCAGGGAAACTAATGGGAGATATTGCACAGCAGGGTGGGGGACTGAATAGTCCTGGCTGATTCCTTTTGGGTTGTGAAAAGAGACTGGGTTGAACCTAGAAATATTGGCTTTGTTTATTTGATGAGTCATAAGAGCATTCCAAAAGCTTTTGGCAGGTTACAGCATAAAATGGTTTGGGAACAAGTGGTGTAGATTAGAACCTTACTTGGCCAATATTATGGTTTGATGCCTTGGGTTTTGGATGTCAAATCACATACTATGATGTCCTAAGGGTCTTCCAGATAACCCCAGTGCTTGAGTGTGATGGTAATGTAATAGAGACTAATATAGGAACAGTGGAGGGAAACCCTTCACCAGACGATTTCATCCACCCAGGAGGTCTGAGTCAGATGACCCATGGGAATATACTCTTCCTTGTGTAATCAAACTTTCCAGCTCCTTGATGTGGCTTGCTGCACAAACTAGAGTTTCCCATATATAGCTATAGAGGCAGTTTGTTATTGGATGGGATGGATTCCGGAAATTCCTTAACTTCATTTACTCTTTCATTAATTAACTTTTTTGAATGTGCTGTGCCATGACAAAGTTTCTATCAGATTGGAAGATTGAAGATTGCGCTTTATTTTGATTTTGCTTTGGATTGTTACCATGGTTCTCAGTGAGCAGAGTTGGTCTGTAAACCCTGAAAATATGTGGTGCTGGACTGTACCAATGAGAAAATGTAGTACTGTAGTCTTACATACAAAACCCCTCACAGGTCTGCCCCTTGATATTCCCACTTCATAAAGATTCAGCATTCACATCTCACACATCTGTTCACTAAAACAAAGCATGTTTTATCCAATTCTCATGCATGGTGGCAGATGTGATCTATTTCTGTGTCAAGTCTGAACAACAGGTACTCTTGTAATTGTCATTCATATTATTAGGATTAGATACATTACTCACCTGTGCCTATTTACTGTAGCTTAGTCTCGCACCAAGAATGGCATGACAGTCAAACCCATTAAAAACCATGATACACATTAATTACCCATAAATGTTCGACTTACAGTGCATTTGCATTGACTGAGTGTGGTAACAGTGTGGTGTTGACAGAGTTTGTTTGATTGTGCAGTAGATCCTCAGGGTTCCTGAGGAAGATCCTGAAGAAACGTCCCCATAAGGAGCCTCAGACCCCTGACGATGGAGATCTGACCACGGCCCAGGCCCTGATCGAACGAGGAGAAGGTAAGTGGCACCTGGACGCAGCCTTGAGGAACACCAAATATGTGACCTGACCAGGAAAGACTCTGGGTCCTAGTTATACAATAGGTTCTACAATAAGGACCACATTATTTGTGCTGATCCAGTCTGGCCTGGAATTGGCAGTGGTCTTAATCATGTGAAGGTGCTGGAAGAGTGCAGTGATGTAGGGGTGATACAGGGTCAGTCACTTCCTGAACATGAGACCCAGAGAGAAAATCCAGGTGTTTGCTTTCAGGGTAAATAATGAGGCATGTAGGATTAAGCTCTATCAAAACAAGATAGTTTGGACCTTTCATGAATCTGGCTCTAGCCTCTTGCAATGGCAGTGCATGAGAGTTTGGACCTTTCATGAATCCGGCTCTAGCCTCTTGCTATGGCAGTGCATAAGAGTTTGGCGTTTGAGAGGGGTAAAAAGGGGATGACATATCAACACTTAATTTGGAATGAAGTTAACAGCTTTAATTTCCTGGACAAAAATATATATACTGAACAAAAAATATAAACGCAACATGTAAAGAATTGGTCCCATGTTTCATGAGCTGAAATAAAAGATCCCAGAAATGTTCCATATTCACAAAAATATAATTTGTTTACATTGTTGTTAGTGAGCATTTCTCCTTTGCCAAGATAATCCATCCACCTGACAGGTGTGGCATATCAAGAAGCTGATTATACAGCATGATCATTTCACAGGTGCACCTTGTGCTGGGGAACAATAAAAGGCCACTCTAAAATGTGCAGTTTTGTCACACAACACAATGCCACAGATGTCTCAAGTTTTGAGGGAGCGTGCAATTGACATGCTTACTGTAGGAATGTCCACCAGAGCTGTTGCCAGAGAACTGAATGTTCCTTTACCTACCATAAGCCGCCTCCAACGTCGTTTTAGAGAATTTGGCAGTACTTCCAACCGGCCTCACAACCGCAGACCACGTATAACCACGCCAGCCCAGGACCTACACGGCTTCTTCACCTGCGGGATCGTCTGAGACCAGCCACCCGGAAAGCTGTTGAAACTGAGGAGTCTGTCTGTAATAAAGCCCTTTTGTGGGGAAAAACTCATTCTGATTGGCTGGGCCTGGCTCCCCAGTGGGTGGGCCTATGCCCTCCCAGGCCAACCCATGGCTGCACCCCTGCCCAGTCATGTGAAATCCATAGATTAGGGCCTAATTTATTTATTTCAATTGACTGATTTCCTTATATGTACTGTAACTCAGTGAAATCGTTGAAATTGTTACATGTTGCATTTATATTTTTGTTCAGTATACCGGTATATAAAATGTGCCCAGGTCCCAACAAAATCTACATTTTAGAGCTTTGTTGGCTATCAGATTCTACAGCAAAGTTTAGGATATCTTTATTCCAAACCCTGTTTTTTTTCGCATAATGTATAATGATATTTATACATATTGACAACACTGCGCTCGCTCTCGCTCTCTCGCTCTCTTCCACACAACCCCGCCTCTCTCACACATCCCGCTCACACCCAGACCCGGCTAGTGGAGGTCGGGTGGTGAGCCAGAACCCCACCATCAAGATCAGCCAGGCCACACGGGTCTCAGAGCAGTGGAACGCCTCACTGGACCGGGAGATTACCAACGCCAATGAACTCCGACACCTGGATGAGTTCCTGGGGAATCAGGTCGGACCGCTTTTCTGCTTCTTTATACAGCTAGGGCTAACTGTTACGAGGGTTGTTCTCAGTCACACACCTTGTGTAGTTTCCAGGTGCATAGAGGTAAAATACACTTATTGTAATATTTTCAATTGACCACAATGTGTTTAATCTCTCTGTCTGTAGGTGAATGACTTCCGCTCCAGGGGGAAGCAGTTGTCGGCAACCGAGGACATCTTCATCTCAGCCACCGTGCAGTTCAGAGAGACCATCAAGGGCATGTACTCTCTCCCAGTGAGTGGACACACACACACACTATGGATTATGAATGGGTGATGTTTTATACATTTCTGACTCCCTCTCTCTCTCCTGTGGTGGACAGAAACCCCACATTGGCTACAACGGTCTGATGCGTGGCTACCAGAACAGGGTGATCATCCTGGCCGGAGACAAGAAGAAGGGTGAGGTGCAGCTGGTGGTCAACCTCTTCCAGTCTGTCCTGGATGGCTTCATACGGGGGGAGATCAAGAAGGAGGAGGCAGAACCAGCCAAGGTGAACCTGCGTATTTTGTCATAGGGCTATTATCAGGGGGTTTTCTGGATCAAAAAAGAGGCTTGGCTTAGGTGGTGGGTGTGGCAGGTGGCGAGGCAATGGGCGCAGTCGGCCCGTCAGCGAGGCTGAATTTTCAAGAACATTTTAAAGGCCCCCATCTTGGTGGTGGTAGACATTTTTGAATTTTTAAGCCAATTTCCTGCAATTCTACATATTTTTCCATAGACCTGAAATAAATTTTTGCAGTTTAATGCTCATTTCCTGCAGTTCTACAAATTTTTCCATGGAGATAAAATGTTGCCATTTTAAAGCTAATTTCCTGCATTTCTATGCATTTTGCTATGGCTAGTGCTGTGTTATTTTGCTCAAACAGGAAAAACAAAATCAATACTGCTAAATTCATTGTGTTGAGAATTTTCTATTCTCCCGACTGTCTAGCTTTGGTGATTGTTAGTTAGTTCTCAAAGATTATATTATTGAAAAATATAAAGGGTCAGTTATCATTTCTACATACGTTGTAGCTTGTTTTTAGTAATTTAAGTTTACATTGAAAGCGTTTTTACATCCCGAAAATGAATTTCTAACAAATTAAAGATTTTACACCGCTTGGACTTAGGCCCGCCCAAGGATTTCAGTTGCAGAAAAATCCCTATATTATTGCAGTAGGCAAATCCAAGCACCCTGGTGAAGGCTTTATGCTATAACAGTTGGCATAAACAGCACTTTGGGTTTTAGTCATCAAAACCATTTACAAGGCTTTTGTAGAACCAGTGCCTCGCTATGCTCGACTGCTGTATGATAAACACAGTATTGATTGATATATGGATTAAATGAATTAGCTATTGATGTGTTTATGTCTGTATTTCAGCCTGATAAAGCTCGGAAGAAGAGGCGGAAAAAAGACAAGGGTGTAAGTACAAAGGATCAGCCATAAAATCTGTCCAATCCTTTCTCATTATGGCAAGAAACAGGTAACTGCCAAAATAAAGGAAACACCAACATATAATAATAATCATAATAGGGCGTTGGGCCACCACGAGCCAGAACACCTTCAATGCACCTTGGCATAGGTTGTACAAGTGTCTGGAACTCTATTGGAGGGATGCGACACCATTCTTCCACAATAAATTAGGTGTTTTGTTGATGGGAAAACGCTGTCTCAGGTACGGTTCCAGAATCTCCCGTAAGTGTTCAATTGGGTTGAGATCTGGTGACTGAGACGGCCATGGCATATGGTTTACATCGTTTTCATGCTCATCAAAGCATTCAGTGACCATTCGTGCCCTGTGGATGGGGGCATTGTCATCCTATGGGGGCATAGCCATGGTAGCCAAAATAATGGCCTGCCCAGCATTTTTATACATGACCCTAAGCATGATGGGTTGTTAATTGCTTAATTAACTCAGGAACCACACCAGTGTGGAAGCACCTGCTCATTTACTTAAGTGTTTCCATTATTTTGCCAGGTACCTGTATTCAATGAAATTACTCTATAAATATCTATATCAATGTGTCCAATTGTTATGGTTTAGATGGAGAACCCTTTGGACCATGTGTTCAGCACATACCAGGTTAACATCATGCAGTCCTGTGACCAGTGCAGCTCCTATATCTGGGGCATGGAGAAAGCCTGCATGTGCAGCTGTGAGTACCACAAACACAAATATTCTGACAACATTCACATTCTAGTAACAAGGATGACACTCTCGAAATGATTGATGTGAATGTTGAGAATAGTTTTTACATTCTTCTGAGCACCACCATGAACACAAATGCTAAGTAATGTTTTTATTCCTCCAGATTGCAAGATGGTGTGCCACAAGAAGTGCCTCTGCAAAATTGTCACAGACTGCTCCACGTTTTGTGTCAAAAAGGTCAACTTTAACCTCATTCTTGGACCATGATTTAGGTTGGCTAATGTCAAGTCAGGATTGGTCCCTATGTTACTCCCTATGTGACTAATATGCCACTGTCTGTGTATGCAGAGTGATGAGTCGGGAGGCCTGCACTTTGGGGTGCGAGTCTGTCACCTGACCAGCGATAAGAACCCTGTTCCCATGGTGCTGGAGATAATGCTGGAGCACGTGGAGATGAACGGCCTGTACACGGAGGGGATCTACCGCAAGTCTGGCTCCGCCAACCGCATGAAGGAGCTCCACCAGCGAATGGAGACTGGTAAGGACCTGCCATACCATAAACAGTGTAGCAGTGCTTTCAGAGAGCTGCAAAGATATTGATGGGTAACACTTGAAGGGTTATATGTAAGACATACTTAACATGTAACACCTACACAAGCACTAGAGTACTTGTATTTTTCACATTTCATAGTGCCTAGAGATCTTACATTTTACATTATATCTCTTCATGTTCCCATTCTATGACTTGTGTAATGGTTGTTGTTGTGTGGCAGACCCCCACTCAGTGTGCCTAGAGGACTACCCCATCCACACAGTGACTGGGCTGGCCAAACAGTGGCTGAGGGAGCTGCCTGACCCCCTCATGACCTTCACTCATTACAATGACTTCCTTCGGGCCGTAGGTGAGTCCTGTTATAGCGCTAGGTTTAGACAAAACTCTGCCCCACTATAGACCATGGCTCTTCTCCAGTATTAAGAGAGATGGGTACTCTTCTTTTCATTTTGTAATATAATTTACGTCCACAAGGGGAAGCCCCTATATCAGCCCATGTGGGTTATGGTCTCCTTTGTATATTCTACTGAGATATTCTACTGAATGTTGAAATGTGGTGTAATATTGTCTAGTGCAGGGGTGTCAAATGTCCGGCCCGCGGGCCGGATCAGGCCCACAAACGGGTTTAATCCGGCCCGCGAGATGATTTTGAAAAATAAAAAATAAAAAAAATAATACAAAATTTGTAAAGTATAAAAATGCGCTGCAATTTTTCAATAAAATAAACTGCTGTTCCAATTGCGTCCACTGGATGGCGCAATAGCAATTGTGTTAAGCAAGCAAACTGTTTATACCTGGGCAGAGCAAGTAGGTCAAGCACGTGCAGCCAATGAGCTACTTTGTTTTGCCCGCGATATTTATTACGGCTTCTACTTTTAACATTATGTGCTTTGGCACCCTCATTGCCCCAATATGTCTCTGTCAAAAAAGAGAAAAGTGGACGCAGAGTGCAGAGTGTTCCAAGAAAAATGGTCATCCTATTTATTCACGGAATTGAATGGGAAAGCTGTATGTTTGGTGTGTTCAGAGCATGTTGCAGTGCTGAAAGAATATAACCTTCGTCGCCACTATGTGAGTCTTCATGCCGACAAATATGACAACTTTCAAGGACAGCGGAGATGAGAGAAGGTGAATGAACTGTTGGCGGGTCTGAAGAAACAGCAGTCTGTGTTTACTCACAGCCGAGACATCAGTGACGCTGCAGTGAAAGCTAGCTACCTCATTGCTAATGAAATCGCAGTGGCTTCAAAACCATTTAGTGAGGGTGAATTTGTAAAAACATGCATGATGAAGGCAGCGGAGATTGTGTGCCCTGAAAAGCGGCAGGCTTTTGCAAATATCAGCCTGACAAGAAACACAGTTGCAGACAGGATTTCCGATCTTTCAGTGGATTTGGACAGCCAGTTGAAGCAAAAAGTAAAGTCATTTATTGCGTTTTCGGTTGCAATTGATGAAAGCACGGACATTACAGATGTTGCACAACTGGCCATTTTCATCCGCGGAGTTGATGACACATTGACCGTCACCGAGGAGTTCGTGGAGTTGGTGCCGATGACAGATACAACGACAGCAGCTGATATTTTTACCGCACTCGTCGGCGCGCTGGACAGGTTCGGAGTGGACTGGTCCCGCGTTGTCAGCCTGGCTACAGATGGTGCGCCCTCAATGATCGGGAAAAAAGCAGGCGTTGTGACAAAGTTCAGAGAGAAAGTGCAATCTGCAAATGGAGGACGTGATTTTTTGACTTTTCACTGTATTTTGCACCAGGAGGCTTTGTGTTGCAAGTCATTAAAGATGGATAACGTCATGAAGGTGGTCATCCAAACTGTTAATTTCATCCGATCCAGAAGCCTGAATCACCGTCAGTTTGACAGCCTTCTCAGAGAGAAAGACCACATCTATGGCCTGCCATACCACACTGAGGTAAGATGGTTAAGCCGAGGTGCTGTGCTGAGGCGTTTCTTTGATTTACGAGAAGAAATTGAACAGTTCATGGAAGAAAAGGGCAAACCAGTGTTAGAATTTCATTCCGCAGAATGGATGCAGGACCTTGCATTTATGGTGGATGTTACAGAGCACCTGAATAACTTGAACAAACAGCTGCAAGGGCGCAACAAAGTTGTCACGCAGTATTATGACAGCATACGTTCTTTCAAGTTAAAGCTGTCATTGTGGGAGACGCAACTTGCCGGTGGTGATGCAGCTCACTTCCCCTGTCTGAAAAATGTGTGCGCGACCCAACATGTGGCAGACATGAAGCGGTTCAAAGATAACATAACGGGACTGTTACGGGAGTTTGAGCAACGCTTTCAGATTTATGTTTATGTTTTTATGTTGATGTGCTATTGTTTTTAATTGATTTTATTTTATTTGTATATTTAACCTATTCTTGACTCTGTGGTTCTTGCACTTGTTTGGGGAACAGGATTTCATTATTTTTATCTACATTTCTGCCTGAGAAATGACACCCTGATATAGTTCTGTGATCTGTGATATACTTCTGTGAATCACTGAGGCATTGTGTGTTTGTGTGTTCTTTGTCCTCAGAACTTTCAAATAACTTGAGGTGTTTTATGATTAATAGTGATGTTGTGCTTTTGGACACTGTCCTCAGGCTCCAGCTTTATGTTTATATGTTTTTATGTTGATGTGCTATTGTTTTTAATTGTTTTTATTTTATTTGTATATTTAACCTATTCTTGACTCTGTGGTTCTTGCACTTGTTTGGGGAACAGGATTTCATTATTTTTATCTACATTTCTGCCTGAGAAATGACACCCTGATATAGTTCTGTGATCTGTGAAACAGTTCTGTTAATCACTGAGGCATTGTGTGTTTGTTCTTTTTCTTTAGAATTTTCAAATAAACTTGACGTGTTTTATGATTTAATAGTAATGTTGTGCTTGTACTATTTTGGACACACTGTCCTCAGGCTCCAGCTTTATGTTGTATGTTGATCGTATTAAAACAAAGAAAACAATCTGAAGTTGTTGTTTTTAAGTTATATATACCATGATTTTTCCGGTCCGGCCCACTTGGGAATAGATTTTACTCCATGTGGCCCCTGAGCTAAAATGAGTTTGACACCCCTGGTCTAGTGTCAGCGGTCATTGCATTACATTGTGGCTTTGTTGTTGATCCAACATTGGTATTTTTCTCCTCTCTAGAACTTCCTGAAAAGCAAGAACAGCTACATGCCATCTACAAAGTGTTGGAACAGCTCCCCACCGCATGCTTCAACACCTTGGAAAGGCTTGTCTTCCATCTAGTCAGGTGCAATACTCATCATGGCTGGGGCTCTCAATTGGTTGAATAAAGGATTAACGACAAAAAGCACCATGCTCAGTGTATGTTGCTGGACGAATACAATTTGAAAGGACATATTTTTCCTTCAAACATGAGTAATGTTTATTTATTCTTCCAGAGTGTCTAAGGAGGAGTCTCACAACCGCATGTCTCCCAACTCCCTGGCCATCGTGTTTGCCCCCTGCATCCTCCGCTGTCCAGACAGCGCCGACCCACTCATGAGCATGAGGGACGTGGCGAAGACCACCACGTGAGTCTCTCTCTGATCACTGCATAGACCGGAACTACTGTTACTTTAGATATCTGTAACAAAGGTTTTAATCAATTCTGGTTAAATAAATTAAAATGAAGGGGAAACAATACAGTAAGATAATGGTCCATTTAGAATGAATTTTATTGATCTCAACCCTAGTTTTTGCTGTTATGAAGTGATTATTTTGTTCAGGCAGCTAGGTAGGTCACTCACTCTATGGAAAACAATGCAGTGCCTTTAACCTCTACGGGATCGTTGTCCCGTATACGAGACGGTTGAGCTAATGTGCGCTAATGTGATTAGCATGACTCTTGTAAGTAACAGCAAACTTTCCAGGACATAGACATGTCTTATATGGCATAAAGCTTAAATTATTGTTAATCTAACTGCACTGTCCAATTTACTATAGCTATTACAGTGAAAAAATACCATGCTATTGTTTGAGGAGAGTGCACAACAACAAGAAACTTATCATGGCAACTGGTTTGATACATTCACCTCTGAAGGTAAATAATGTACTTACATTCAGTAATCTTGCTCTGATTTGTCATCCTGAGTGTCCCAGAGATATAATGTAGCGTAGTTTTGTTTGATAAATACATTTTTATATTCAAATGTAGGAACTGGGTTCTACAGTTTGAACCCTTGCTGTCTCTGGCTCTACACCCACCCCGCCCAGCCATCTAGATGTGTGAAAGTTAGTGTATAAGCTAATGATCCATCATGTATGACATTCCTGGGAGTGTGTACATTTACATTTACGTCATTTAGCAGACGCTCTTATCAAGAGCGACTTACAAATTGGTGCATTCACCTTATGATAGCCAGTGGGACAACCACTTTAAAAAATATATTTTTAGAATTTTCATTTGTTTTATTTATATATATATATATATATATATATATATATATATATATATATATAATCTATCTATCTATCGGCAGTGTATCAAATACTTGTTCTCCCCACTGTGTATATATATACAGTGGGGAGAACAAGTATTTAATACACTGCCGATTTTGCAGGTTTTCCTACTTACAAAGCATGTAGAGGTCTGTAATTTTTATCATAGGTACACTTCAACTGTGAAAGACAGAATCTAAAACAACAAAAATCCAGAAAATCACATTGTATGATTTTTAAGTAATTAATTTGCTTTTTATTGCATGACATAAGTATTTGATACATCAGAAATGCAGAACTTCATATTTGGTACAGAAACCTTTGTTTGCAATTACAGAGATCATACAAAACGTAGGTCTTGACCAGATTTACACACACTGCAGCAGGGATTTTGGCCCACTCCTCCATACAGACCTTCTCCAGATCCTTCAGGTTTCGGGGCTGTCGCTGGGCAATACGGACTTTCAGCTCCCTCCAAAGATTTTCTATTGGGTTCAGGTCTGGAGACTGGCTAGGCCACTCCAGGACCTTGAGATGCTTCTTACGGAGCCACTCCTTAGTTGCCCTGGCTGTGTGTTTCAGGTCATTGTCATGCTGGAAGACCCAGCCACGACCCATCTTCAATGCTCTTACTGAGGGAAGGAGGTTGTTGGCCAAGATCTCGCGATACATGGCCCCATCCATCCTCCCCTCAATACGGTGCAGTCGTCCTGTCCCCTTTGCAGAAAAGCATCCCCAAAGAATGATGTTTCCATGCTTCACGGTTGGGATGGTGTTCTTGGGGTTGTACTCATCCTTCTTCTTCCTCCAAACACCGCGAGTGGAGTTTAGACCAAAAAGCTCTATTTTTGTCTCATCAGACCACATGACCTTCTCCCATTCCTCCTCTGGATCATCCAGATGGTCATTGGCAAACTTCAGACGGGCCTGGACATGCGCTGGCTTGAGCAGGGGGACCTTGCGTGCGCTACAGGATTTTAATCCATGACGGCATAGTGTATTACTAATGGTTTTCTTTGAGACTGTGGGCCCAGCTCTCTTCAGGTCATTGACCAGGTCCTGCCGTGTAGTTCTGGGCTGATCCCTCACCTTCCTCATGGTCATTGATGCCCCACGAGGTGAAATCTTGCATGGAGCCCCAGACCGAGGGTGATTGACCGTCATCTTGAACTTCTTCCATTTTCTAATAATTGCGCCAACAGTTGTTGCCTTCTCACCAAGCTGCTTGCCTATTGTCCTGTAGCCCATCCCAGCCTTGTACAGGTCTACAATTTTATCCCTGATGTCCTTACACAGCTCTCTGGTCTTGGCCATTATGGAGAGGTTGGAGTCTGTTTGATTGAGTGTGTGGACAGGTGTCTTTTATACAGGTAACGAGTTCAAACAGGTGCAGTTAATACAGGTAATGAGTGGAGAACAGGAGGGCTTCTTAAAGAAAAACTAACAGGTCTGTGAGAGCCGTAATTCTTACTGGTTGGTAGGTGATCAAATACTTATGCCATGCAATAAAATGCAAATTAATTACTTAAAAATCATACAATGTGATTTTCTGGATTTTTGTTTTAGATTCCGTCTCTCACAGTTGAAGTGTACCTATGATAAGATTTACAGACCTCTACATGCTTTGTAAGTAGGAAAACCTGCAAAATCGGCAGTGTATCAAATACTTGTTCTCCCCACTATATATATATATAATGTTTGTTTTTTTGTGGGGGGGGGGGTAGAAGGATTACTTTTATACTATCCCAGGTATTACTTAAAGAGGTAGGGTTTCAAGTGTCTCCGGAAGGTGGTCAGTGACTCCGCTGCCTTGGCGTCGTGAGGGAGCTTGTTCCACCAGAGCAGCGAACAGTTTTGACTGGGCTGAGCGGGAACTGTGCTTCCGCAGAGGTAGGGGGACCAGCAGGCCAGAGGTGGAAGAACGCAATGCCCTCGTTTGGGTGTAGGGACTGATCAGAGCCTGAAGGTAAGGAGGTGCCGTTCCCCACACCGCTCCGTAGGCAAGCACCATGGTCTTGTAGCAGACGTGAGCTTCCTGTGTAAGGTATGGTCGTACTCTGCAAATGTTGTAGAGCATGAACCTACAGGATCGGGTCACCGCTTTGACGTTAGCGGAGAACGACAGGGTGTTGTCGAGGGTCACGACAAGGTTCTTTGCACTCTGGGAGGAGGATACAACATAGTTGTCAACCGTGATGGCGAGATCATGGAGCGGGCAGTCCTTCCCCGGGAGGAAGAGCAGCTCAGTCTTGCCGAGGTTCAGCTTGAGGTGGTGATCCGACATCCACACTGATATGTCTGCCAGACATGCAGAGATGCGATTCGCCACCTGGTTATCAGAAGAGGGAAAGGAGAAGTTTAATTGTGTGTCGTCTGCGTAGCAATAATAGGAGAGACCATGTGAGGATATGACAGAGCCAAGTGACTTGGTGTATAGAGAGAATAGGAGAGAGCCTAGAACTGAGCCCTGGGGGACACCAGTGGTGAAAGCACGTGGTGCGGAGACAGATTCTCGCCACGCCACCTGGTAGGAGCGACCTGTCAGGTAGGACGCAATCCAAGAGTGAGCCGCGCCGGAGATGCCAACTCGGAGAGGGTGGAGAGGAGGATCTGATGGTTCACAGTATCAAAGGCAGCAGATAGGTCTAGAAGGATGAGAGCAGAGGAGAGAGAGTTAGCTTTAGCAGTGCGGAGAGCCTCCGTGACACAGAGAAGAGCAGTCTCAGTTGAATGACCAGTCTTGAAACCTGACTGGTTTGGATCAGGAAGGTCATTCTGAGAGAGATAGCAGGAGAGTTGGCTATAGACGGCACGCTCGAGTTTTGGAGAGAAAAGAAAGGGATACTGGTCTGTAGTTTGAGGGATCGAGTGTAGGTTTTTTGAGGAGGGGTGCAACTCTCGCTTTCTTGAAGATGGAAGGGACATAGCCAGCGGACAAGGATGAGTTGATGAGCGAGGTGAGGTAAGGGAGAAGGTCTCCGGAAATGATCTGGAGAAGAGAGGAGGGGATAGGGTCAAGCGGGCAGGTTGTTGGGTGGCCGGCCGTCACAAGTCGCAAGATTTCATCTGGAGAGAGAGGGGAGAAAGAAGTCAAAGCATAGGGTAGGGCAGTGTGAGCAGGATCAGTGGTGTCATTTGACTTAATAAATGAGGATCGGATGTCGTCAACCTTCTTTTCAAAATGGTTGACGAAGTCATCCACAGAGAGGGAGGAGGGAGGGGGAGGAGGAGGAGGATTCAGCAGGGTGGAGAAGGTGGCAAAGAGCTTCCGAGGGTTAGAGGCAGAGGCTTGAAATTTAGAGTGGTAGAAAGTGGCTTTAGCAGCAGAAACGGAGGAAGATAATGTAGAGAGGAGGGAGTGGAAAGATGACAGGTCCGCAGGGAGTCTAGTTTTCCTCCATTTCCGCTCGGCTGCCCGGAGCCCTGTTCTGTGAGCTTACAATTAATCGTCAAGCCACGGCGCAGGAGGGGAGGACCGAGCCGGCCGGGAGGATAGGGGACATAGAGAGTCAAAGGATGCAGAAAGGGAGGAGAGGAGGGTTGAGGAGGCAGAATCAGGAGATTGGAGGGAGAAGGATTTAGCAGAGGGAAGAGATGATAGGATGGAAGAGGAGAGAGTAGCGGGAGAGAGAGAGTGAAGGTTGCGACGGCACATTACCATCTGAGTAGGGGCAGAGTGAGTAGTGTTGGAGGAGAGCGAGAGAGAAAAGGATACGAAGTTGTGGTCGGAGACTTGGAGGGGAGTTGCAGTGAGATTAGTAGAAGAACAGCATCTAGTAAAGATGAGGTCAAGCGTATTGCCTGCCTTGTGAGTAGGGGGGGACGGTGTGAGGGTGAGGTCAAAAGAGGAAAGGAGTGGAAAGAAGGAGGCAGAGAGAAATGAGTCAAAGGCAGACGTAGGGAGGTTAAAGTCACCCAGAACTGTGAGGGGTGAGCCATCCTCGGGAAAGGAACTTATCAAGGCATCAAGCTCATTGATGAACTCTCCAAGGGAACCAGGAGGGCGATAAATGACAAGGATGTTAAGCTTGAATGGGCTAGTGACTGTGACAGCATAGAATTCAAATGAGGAGATAGACAGATGGGTCAGGGGGAAAAGAGAGAATGTCCACTTGGGAGAGATGAGGATTCCTGTGCCACCGCCGCGCTGACCAGATGCTCTCGGGGTATGCGAGAACACATGATCAGACGAGGAAAGAGCAGTAGGAGTAGCAGTGTTTTCTGTGGTAATCCATGTTTCTGTCAGCGCCAAGAAGTCGAGGGACTGGTGGGTGGCATAGGCTGAGATGAACTCTGCCTTGTTGGCCGCAGAACGGCAGTTCCAGAGGCTACCGGAGACCTGGAACTCCACGTGTGTCGTGCGCGCAGGTACCACCATATTAGAGTGGCAGCAGCCACGCCGTGTGAAGCGTTTGTATGGCCTGTGCGGAGAGGCGAGAACAGGGATAGACAGACACATAGTTGACAGGCTACAGAAAAGGCTACAATAATGCAAAGGAGATCGGAATGAAATTAACTAAGCATCTGGGAAAGCGAGAGAGCGGGGCCTCCCTCACGTTTCACTGAAACGCTCAAATTTAACTCTCCCAACTTCCATTTTAGATTAATAGACTTTAGATAGTGTCTGGTCTGTTAGCGATGTTACCAAACAGACTAGTTCTGTCTCTTACCTCTAGTTAGTGTCTGGTCTATTAGCGATGTTACCAAACAGACTAGTTCTGTCTCTTGCCTCTAGTTAGTGTCTGGTCTATTAGCGATCTTACCAAACAGACTAGTTCTGTATCTTACCTCTAGTTAGTGTCTGGGCTATTAGCGATGTTACCAAACAGACTAGTTAAAAAACATAGAGAATTTGGAGACTATCCCCTCTCATCCTGAATCTATTTATATTAACAGGGATAAATCTGGTCAATGTTAGAGGCTGATCCAGGTTCAGATTTAACTTGACCCTGACCCTGTAGTGAGGTCTGATATCACCGCTGCAGGTTTTACACTAATCTGACAGGAGTTGACAATCCTTCTGTGAATAATGTATTTGATCCATAACGATGTATCACAGTGTTATTACATACAGTACCAGTCAAAAGTTTGGACACACCTACTCATTCAAGGGTTTGTCTTTATTTTAACTATTTTTTACATTGTAGAATAATAGTGAAGACATCAAAACTATGAAATAACATATATGGAATCATATAGTAACCAAAAAAGTGTTAAACAAATCAAAATATATATTTATATTTGAGATTCTTTAAATAGCCACCCTTTGCCTTGATGACAGCTTTACACACTCTTGGCATTCTCTCAACCAGCTTCATGAGGTAGTCACCTGGAATGCATTTCAATTAACAGGTGTGCCTTCTTAAAAGTTAATTTGTGGAATGTATTTCCTTCTTAATGCGTTTGAGCCAATCAGTTGTGTTTTGACAAGGTAGGGGTGGTATACAGAAGATAGCCCTATTTGGTAAAATACTAAGTCCATATTATGGCAAGAACTGCTTAAATAAGCAAAGAGAAACGACAGTCCATCATTACTTTAAGAAATGAAGGTCAGTCAATACAGAACATTTCAAGAACTTTGAACGTTTCTTCAAGTGCAGTCGCAAAAACCATCAAGCGCTATGATGAAACTGGCTCTCATGAGGACAGTCAAACTTACATTTTGTATTACCATATCATTTTTGTATGTTCTCTATAGTTATGTACTTGAAAATGTATAAATTGACCAATTCGGGACATTTGGGCAGACTTGATACAAAATAAGTCCAGTATTGCAATGCTTCACTGGATCAATCTGAAACTTTGCACACACTGCTGCCAAAACGTATGTTTTTTTTGTCAGTATTATCTTTTACCAGATCTAATGTGTTATATTCTCCTACATTAATTTCACATTTCCACAAACTTCAAAGTGTTTCCTTTCAAATTGTATCAAGGATATGCAATCCTTGCTTCAGGTCCTGAGCTACAGGCAGTTAGATTTGGGTATGTCATTTTAGGCGGAAATTGAGAAAAAAAAGGGTCCGATCCTTAAGAGGTTAACATAATAGAATTGGTTACTAACATGTAATGTCTGTGTCCCAGGTGTGTGGAGATGCTGATCAACGAGCAGATCCGAAGCTACAACGAGAAGATGGAAGAGATTGAACAGCTGGAATATGCCGAGACTTTGGCTATCAATCAGCTCAAACTCAAGAGGCAGAACACGGTAAGCACAATGCTACATGCCTTGGTCTGTCTGGACAATATCCAGGGTTGGGGTCAATTCAGGAAGTAAACTGAAATTCCAATTTTCCTCAATGCTTCTCTATGAGAAACATTTGGAATTGGAATTTGTTTACTTTCTGAATTGAAATGGAATTGACCCCAACCCTGACATTTACCAGGTCCATAGACTCACTAGGCAAACCAACTATAGTCACTGACTTGATTTACTGGAGGGCAGTGTTCTACACCCCTGGTCCTGTAAGGCCTCAGAGTGTCAGTGTATTGTCCAATGTCCACCATGGGTTACTGCTCATTGTTTTGTGGTTCTCCCTTGTCTCTCTTCAGCTGCATTGGCATTTGCCCCTCAGGTTTTCTGCTCCATACAAAGGAGTGGTGGTACGTATCCACTTAGCTCCAGTTCTCCTGGTAGCTAGATGCAGTTTGTCATGTCAACCCGTCTGTGCATGACGTGTAGTAGTCGATGACCCCCCTCCCTTCTCCTCCTTTTCATACTAACTGGTAGTATACAATATTGCAGTGGTCACCCAACTATGGTTTTGGAGAACTATTGGGTGTGCAGGCTTTTGTTCCAGCCCAGCATTAACACACCTAAGTCAACGAATCGTGGATCCAAGTGAAGACCATGATCAGTAGATTCTGCAGAAAAGGTGTGTTCGTGCTGGGCTGGAACAAAAGCCTGCCTACCTTACCCACTCTTAGTAGCTCTCCGGAACTTCTTGTTAGACCCCTGTAATACTGCATATTTGTTTCAGTCCCCAGCGTCTGTGATGGGAAGGTTCTTCAGAGTGATGGTGTTGGGTTGATGTTGTGTATGGTTTGACTAGTATTTAGTGACATTAACTCTTGATCATAACTCACTTGTGCTGTGTGGCACATACATGATTCCAGACAGCACAACCTTGGGGTGAAAGGGATGGTTTGTGGATTCTTCCTGTTAACCGGTACCAAGCATTGGAACTCATGGAATGGGGAATGCTTGACATGGGAATGACTTCTTTCTTGATGATGACTTTTTCTCCTTGTGTAAAATAACCTTTTATCATATGACATGACTTCTGCTTTGATTTGCAGTCTCAAGCTGCATTCAATAGTTCAATAGTGCATAAAACCCCTGACACCCGATACTGATGTTTTCCTACATGTTGTGTGGTTGAATAACATAGTGCCTGTTTCTCCCTACTGATCTTGACACAACCTCCTGCCTGCCTTAAGGTACCATGGTTCCCTGGCATGCCACAGGCATAATATGATATGCAACACTATGCATGATTACTTAACACAGGCACCCCCCACCATTCATTCACCCTCTCATCCTCTTAACCAGTGTGATGTAGACTTGCCATTGTTATAGCCCAATCGTTAAGGTGTCCTGAGTAACTGTGTGCGTGTCTGTGTGTTCTCTCCCAGGTGCATGAGAAAGAGTGCTCTGACCTGACAGTGGTCCCTGAGAATGATGTGCCGCTGGACTCTGATACGGAGGCTGAGAAAAACCTGATGGCGCGCATCAAGTCCATCAAACAGGAGAAGTAAGAACCGAGGAGAGCCTCTGAGTCACGCCTAGATTCACCACTGAATTCAGCACATATTTTAAAACTGTGATTTATACACTGTGGTTATATTTATATCAAATGGTTATATCTGATGGTTATAGTTTCGCTTTGCTGAGATCCACCAGCCCTTGGTTACATTTGTGACCCCTCTGTTTTCTGTCTCTCCCTTCCCCCTATTTCCCAGGGAGGACCTAGTCTGCAGACTGCCAGAGCTGGAGCAGCCTGGTTCAGACCAAGAGAACCTGGATTCTGAGGCGTCGGTGAGCTCTGAGAGCCTGCTGGACGAGCGCTGCCACAACTCAGAGCCCGAAGGTCAGTATTAAAGGTACTGTCTCACCCCCCCCTTTTTTTACCTATTCACGCCTGTGAGTTTCTCATCTGCCTACCTGGCCCCGTCTGTCCCTGTTGTCTCTGATGCAGGTCTGGACAAGCTGGTGGTGGTGCATTTAAAGAGGGTGGCGGAGGTGCCATCTGCTTTCTAGCAGGTTGGAGGCTCCCAGTTTCACAAGCAATGTTTTGTGTGTGGGTTTTGTGTGTGTTTGCATGAATGTCTGTGTGGCATGCAGAAACATTGACCGAACTAACTGATGGTGGTGGAGTAACATGGTGGCATGGTGTTTATTTGTGGTGATATGAGCCCTTTCAGGATGGCTGTTACTCTCTTAACTCTCTGAGTGGATGATACTGTTTTTTCCCCTCCTCCTAACACTTTCTCATCCCTCTCTTCCAGGGAGAGGTTCTCTCCTACTGAATAAGGCCAAGCTGGCCTGCCCTCCCAAGCCTTCTGACCTGGCCCAGAGACCTAAGGCCCCAGGGGAGCGTTCCTCCCTCCGCAACCTTGGCTCCACCTCCCGGCTCCAGCTGCAACAACACCGCCCCATCATCTCAGCCACGGTAAAGCTGCCCCCGGGCATCCACTCGCAACCCCCCGCTGTGGCCCTCAACCCCCCTGCCAGCCGTGGCTTCAGCCTGATCAAGAGGCGGGAGAAGCCCGCCCGACGCGAAGACGGCACCCAGTCCCTGTACATCAGCCCAGACAAGGACCTGTTCCCCTCCTCCTCCCTCTCCATCTCCACCCCACAAAGCCTCCAGACCACCAGCAAGGCCCTCAGACGCTTCTCAGACCCCATCATCCCCTATACTGACCAGGCCTGACACAGACAGGAGGCACAATAGAACTCGATACAGAACTGGATATCTATGGTGGGTCCACTCAGGCAGGAGTGGCCTGGAGGGTACAGTATGCAGGCTGTTATTGTTTCGGTTGCTGTTGCCATGGAAACTGATCATGCCTGATAATAACAGGATGTGTCACCAAGCACTTTTTCTACACTTAATATATTGTTGTAGTTTTTTAAGAGACAAATTAAATCGAGTTTGCGCTGCATTTTGTGCGGCTGCATGGACTCTATGGACAAATGTTTTCTTTTTTAAATACTTAGGTTTCATGAGGAAAAACTGCAGGTTATTGCACATTTCCATTCCCAGGTCTCCTTATGAGAAGACCCAAACATTGTCCTCAATGTAAAGTCAATAGTGCCTTGATTTGTACATTGTCAGTGTACAAATTAATTGGTCATTTGTACTTTTAATATTCGATGATGGGGACGGTATTTTTGTATGATACTCTTGTGCTAATTCAAAGAAATTGTACCAACTCAAGACATGATCGAACGAGGACCAAAACACTTGTGATCCAGTTATGGTGCCTTGAACAGCCTTCTCGTCGGAAATGAACTAAAGCCACGTTCTTCCCTCTCCCACCATTTCCTCCCTGTATAGGAACTGCTTTCACTTGTCAAAGGGAAAATGGGAGCAGCACTAGCCACTTTCCTCCTGGATGAAAACCGCTATCCCTTGTCAAGGGCTGCATGCTATGTCTTATAAATGGACCTTTTAGATTCTACTTTCTGTAATGTTTCCGCAGCTACATACATATGGCTTCAGTCAACTGTACTGTACCTGCCACTAAGTCAATAGGAGGGTCAGGATCACTATAGACTACAGACGACCCCCTCTTCAAAAGTTGTTTGAAATGTAATACTAATGAGTGATTCCTCACGGAACCCAGACAAAAAAAATACCATGATTTGGGGGATTTTCACGAAATGTAATCCATGGAATAGTCCTTTGGAGGAAGGATTGTTGGTGTATAATTGAGAAATAATTCATCAAAGTTGGCATATGTATGACATTTTGGCCTTACCTAGGCCTCCTTTTAAGGCTCCATAATATTTCATCTGTAGATGCTAAAGCAAAGATTGGTGTCATAAGAAGCTTTACCTCTTGCTCTGTAATATGAGTAGTATTTTAATTTCAATAAAACGTTTTTTACATTAATTTATGAATATTGACAAATATAAATTGAATATTGAAAATATACCATTTTTGATTTGGCACATTTTTCAATATATTGTTGAACATAATATACTCTAGTCTTCAGGGATATAAAAATTCCAGAGTGGGATCTCTGCTAGTTTTCATGTTATGTCCCATTTTATTCAGAGAAATTGTCATAGTAGGCAATGTAGCCAATCACAGCCCTTCTTTTATCATTGCACATCCTGCAAATCACCAGCAGGAGCGAACATTTTGAATCCATTTTCACATTCACTCTGTTGGTAATGATTACAAATTGGATCATAACGCTAAAAGTAGCAGAGGCCCCAGTCTGGAACTTTGAAATGCCCGTAGAGTATATTATGTTCAATAATATATTGAAAAAGAAACTGCAGTCATTTATTGAAGTCTACAAGGGCCATTGTTTGTCTGAGAACAACGTAGGAGTGCTGTATCGATAGCTATGATTCTAATCTATCATTGCATAATAATCACTGCTCTATTGGATATAACATTTTCCTAATCCAGGCACTTGTCATCTCCCGTCTGGATTACTGCAACTCGCTGTTGGCTGGGCTCCCTGCTTGTGCCATTAAACCCCTACAACTCATCCAGAACGCTGCAGCCCGTCTGTTGTTCAACCTTCCCAAGTTCTCTCACGTCACCCCGCTCTTCCGCACACTCCACTAGCTAACAGTTGAAGCCCGCATCTGCTACAAGACCATGGTGCTTGCCTACGGAGCTGTGAGGGGAACGGCACCTCCGTACCTTCAGGCTCTGATCAGTCCCTACACCCAAATGAGGGCATTGCGTTCATCCACCTCTGGCCTGCTGGCCCCCCTACCTCTGCGGAAGCACAGTTCCCGCTCAGCCCAGTCAAAACTGTTCGCTGCTCTGGCACCCCAATGGTGGAACAAGCTCCCTCACGACGCCAGGATAGCGGAGTCACTCACCACCTTCCGGAGACACTTGAAACCCCACCTCTTTAAGGAATACCTGGGATAGGATAAAAGTAATCCTTCTACTCTCCCCCCCCCCACCCAAAAAAAAGGTCATAAGGTGAATGCACCAATTTGTAAGTCGCTCTGGATAAGAGCGTCTGCTAAATGACGAAAATGTAAATGTACACCTGAAACATCGCATTTATAACAAAATTCTTGTTCATACATAATAATTGTTTTGACATTTGAGGTATTGCTCTGGGTTGGAAATAGATACAGTCAATGTGTAAGCACGATAGCGTCGATGGAGCTATTGCTTGAGCTAATAGACGCTTGAGGGACCCGTATTATCTCTGAGTCTAATGTATTGTCAAATGGCTCCCTCTAGCGTGTAGAAGAGAACCAACCCAATCGACCAAGCCATTTATTTATTATTGATTTTTTACCTTTATTTAACTAGGTAAGTCAGTTAAGAACAAATTCTTATTTACAATGACGGCCTACACCGTCCAAACCCGGACGACGCTGGGCCAATTGTGCGCCGCCCTATGGGACTCCCAATCACGGCCGGTTGTGATACAGCCTGGAATCGAAGCAGGGGGTCTGTAGTGACGCCTCAAGCACTGAGATGCAGTGCCTTAGACCGCTGCGCCACTCGTGAACCTTAACTGATCATTTGGGTACCTGTTTGGGGTACTTTTTGGTTGTTTGGGCTTATTAGTAGGACACCAAAGAAAGCGTTAAAGCTTCATATGATACTAATTGTTGCTTTGAAGCATCTACAGATTTAACATTATGGAGTCTTAAAGGAGTAAGGCCAAAATGTCATAACTTTAATAAATTATTTCTCAATTATGCTTTTAGATACAAATGTCAAATATGTCAACAATACTTCCTCCAAAGGACTATTCTATGGATTACATTTCGTGAAAAAAACAACTAATTGTATTATTTTGTCTGGGTTTCGTGAGGAATCACTCTGTCCTTCTCTGACTGCTGTTTGATGTTGTCTGTCTGCCTGTGTACTGAGAAAATGCCAATTGGGAATGTCTGGGATTGAATGGTGTGAATTGAATGATGTGAGCTGTAATGAATATTAACAGGACAATACAGTACATGCTTGTATCCCATGCTGTGGTCTGACAATTGATTCACCACTAGGTAGAGACAAAGTAGAAGAGACCAGCGTAGTGAATCTCTATGTTCAGCATTGAGGTCAACTCATGTAGTGAGGCAGCTAATGATATCAACATCCAACACAAGTGATTCAAAACAAAGGCGCTGTATGGTCTTCCTGATTTTATACCAGTGTATGTAAGGAATCCTACTGGTAATGTTGCCCAGATTATTCTCTCTAAACTAAAGGCAGAATCTTGTATCACAAGACTGTGGCACATTGTTTTGTTTTCGTCTGTCCTTACAGTATGAGGAAGTTATACAGTTATCAAAGTGAACTGAGGTAACAGCCAGACTTAAGACGACAACAGGGACTGTTAATCATTTACTACGCCAGTGGTCACCAACCGGTCGATCGTGAAAGCAATCCAAGTCGATCATCAAACATTTCTGTAGAAAAGCCAACGATAAAGGCTTGCGCTCCCTTTTTTTTGTGTTGCGCTGTGCCTATAGTTTCCACGACCCCTACCACAGCCAAGTTTGACACTAGCCTACGTGAGATTTCATAACTTTTATAAAACCATGACCAGAGAGAGACTGTCAAAGAATACAGCAAAGAGCTGCTGTTTTTGAGTGATTTTGTTAGTTTTTATTCAGCACTGTCAAGACTGTTTTTATTCAACACTATTACAAAACATAAAACGCGCTTCTCCGTATTTCCACTCGTGCTGCACCTACAATGAATGAGTAGCCAAGTGTACTGTGTTTTTATTATTATTAGCAGCTCGTAGTGTCTTCGAATATCGAGGAATATTTAACTTTCTCTGGTCATAGGAACAACATGAATTTGTGCACGAGGCAGATGTGGATGTGGTGCGACTCGAGTTTCGCCATAAGGTGGAAGACTGTCCCCTCTCTCTGGTCAGTCTCACCAGAGGACCGGAAGGAGAGAGCAGGGACAGTGAGAGGCAGACCCTCTGCTGCTCTCTCCCTCCCTCCACTGAGACTAATGCCGTGTTCAAAACAACTGGGAACTCAGAAATCTCAGACCTCCGACTTCAGTGCGTTCTAGACAACTGGGAACTGAAAAAACGAGATCTAACTGGGAAAAAATAGTTTTGAACGGTCATCCAACTCGGAATTAAAAGTCGGAAACTCGGGCATCTTTCTAGAGATCAGATTTTCCGACCTGAAGATCACTGACGTCATGATTTGACCTAGTTTTTTTCTCTCCGAGTTCACAGTTGTCTTGAAAGAACCATGACAATCAGATGCAGTTACCATCAGTCCAGTTAAATAAAAAAGCTTATTTCAATTTATGCTCAGCTGTGCCTCTCAAGTGCTACACCAACTGATCTATTTTGTTATCAAAGCTCGAGTTCTGAAATATAATATGGTCTGAGAAGAGTAATATTGGCAGGCCAGGCATATAGCCAATATGCTATGATAATGTATTAGACCTACTGCACAAACCTCATTCCTACAGAACTGTTTTTATTAGGTTAATGTTAAATTTTTTAAGGAATGTTTAAATAAACATGAGCGGTAGATCTTGGCTTGCTTTTTGACTGTAAAAGGTTGGTTACCACTGTTGTAAGAGGCAGGGGCGCAACTTTCATTGGGGGCGGGGACATTTCACCCCCACATTCTGAATTTGCATTTTTGTACCCCCAGTTTTGTAATTGGAATGTGATACAAAATTAGGCAACGGTGTGCTTTAGGACCATGTGGATGCCTCCAAGCGGTTGGGTAGGCTGTTTGGAGTGTTTATCCAACTGGATAAAAATATACATGTCCCCCCCCCCCCCCCCCCCCCACTTCTAAAACCAAAGTTGCGCCCCTGGTAAGAGGTACCAACAATAAAGGGTTCTGTACAAACCGCTATTAGCCTTCGCATATAGAGAAAATTATGTACTGTAGCACATGATGGTCAAGACCATCTAAGGCCCAACAAAATTTTGACTTTATTAAATGCATATATTAATTTATTTCTAGTTGCACACGTATTCACACACACATTGAGGGTGCTTTGATTTCTACCTATAGTCTCAACTTATGCAGCAAAGGAACAGACTTGGCGGAGTGACATTGAGTGGTGGGGAACAGTGTTGGGGCAGCATTGTGCCACTGGACATTTCAACACCACCACTAAAACAAATCACAGTTTCAATGGTGGAAATCAAAACATTTGGACGGAGCACATCTGAAAAGCAGGGTCTGTCAAAACATTGTTTCTTATAAGATCTCAACATGTACACTTACACGATACAGCAGTGTGACAGTCTTGATCTGAAAGTAAGGTACCCACCCTGGCAGCCCTTTGAACCTTAACATACCCAGCCCCAAACTCATTAATGGGTTTCACCAAATAGTGAGAGCCAGGGAACCACTGTCAATGTGTGACAGAGATTGGTCTACATAGGTATAGGATTCTTCAGATAGCAGTGTGTCAGTCTTGATCTGAAAATAAAGTACCCACCCTGAGTTTATTTGACCCAGAAACCTGGGGGGGGTAGGCTACATCAAACAGCCCTACTGTAGAAGCTTGAGGATTATGGGTATCAAATCATTGTTTGTCCTCCATCATAAAGTATTCAATCAGATTTTACAAGGGTCTTTAGTTGTAAAATCATATGCGGTAGTACTATTGAGAAAAATGTAAAATCAGGTGTCAAACACACTATGGTTCTAACATCTGTCTTGATAGCCTCCTATGCATAACAGTTTACAGGTGGCACTAGAGCAGGGCTCAGCAACCCTACTGTAGGTATTCGCTCCAACCCCAGTTGTAACCAACCCTGTTCCTGCTAGTGGCTAACGCTAGACCCGGATGTTGCGTAGCTGCCAAAAGTTGTTTTACGCCATTGTTAATTATATTAAAATACATTGTTTTACACACAGAGTTGCCTGCTTGGCCACATTCTACAGTATGTTTCAGAAAGTGAAAGGCACAGATGAATGTACTGCAAACTGATTTTAATTAGTTTAACGGTCACACAAATGACACTTATCAAACAGGGTCTTTCCCAAATGAAGCACATACTTGAGTAGCAGGCAGATATACAGTATGTATGATATGTGATAGATTACACCGTCAGCTGAGAGAGAGCTCCAAGATGACGTAGGGTTGGTTGGTTTTCCTCAGGTAGAAAACTGTGACGTCGCTGAGTGTTTTGATCTGAGAACAAGCCTGTTAGTGAACTCTGGGGTTGTGGGTCGAGTTCAGCAACCACATAGCTCAAAGAATCCTACCACGGGCACTAGTTTGAGTAATTCGATCAAAAATATATTAAATTCATTAAATATATAACTGCTTGACACAAGGCAAGGACAAGCATGCACTTGGCACTCCCTCACTGGCCAACTTCCTTTAAGACAAACTCTGGGGACAAAGCTTCCCCACTCTCCCTTAACTAGGCATACATTTGATAGAGCCAGACAAAGTTATATTTAATCAAAACTGCTATCCAGACGTTTCCAGAGCAAGACCTTATTATAATTGTTCATGTTATAACTAAATGAAGCCGAAAGAAACTCAACTGATGTTTGCCTTACTCCAGGGTGTCCCGGATACCAGTTTTGATTGAATAAGAACCTCTGTCACAATGCCCCATCAACACCCTCCAAACAAACAAAAAACAGACAAAGCAAAAGCAGCCAAATGTATAAATAAGTCCTTGGAAGTGCTCCCGATAAAATCAGCATCCAAAGGTTGGTAATAATTAATGAAGGCGTAATGTTTAAAGAGCAGGTTGTTCCCTGATGATGAGTGCATCATTGTTTGTGTGTGTTGTTAAAGCACCCTCTCGCCGCTCTTGTACATGGCTATAAACACCGGGTACTCCCGCCTCCACTCCGTCCCGCTGACGACAGACCACCGCTGGTCATGGGACGTCCTGAAGACACTACTACTGCTTTGGATGCTGAAAAAGAAAAGGGAATAAATCAACAGATGGAAGCAACTGTTTGTGTGGTCAGGATATTCAAGAGCAATGGGATATTCAGCAGATCTGCTACAGATGTGTGGGGCAAAATATTCCTGGGATAATTATCACTTCTTGACCAGGACCCATTTGTCTGGATTTGGCAGAAATACTGTACCTTACTTCATGCTGGCCAGAAATCTGTGGTTCTTGGTGTTAGGCTAACTGAATTTAGACACCTGTTTTTAGGATGTGTGCTATGAGCAGCCTGAGAGTGTAGTGTTTAGTAGTGTACTTACAGCAGCGTTCAGGGCTTGTTTCAGGTCCTCGATGATATCCTGCTCGTCCTCCAGCCCCACGGACAGACGGACCAGTGTGTCACTGATCCCCAGGGCGGCCCTATCACTCTCCGGAACAGACGCATGGGTCATTATCGCCCTGAGAGAGAGGGAACAGGTAATAGCTCAATATTCAAAGAGAACCCATGTCTTAAAGTACTTTTTGTTGTTGTTGCTTATTTCTGATAAAGGACAAGTTATGCAGGGGTGTGTATAACTTTGTGCCTCAATTAGCAGAGTATCTTGAAAACATCTACATTTTATCATGACACTATTGAACAGGTATGATCAGAGGCCGTCTGCGCTCTTTTAAAGGTCCTTACTACTGAAAATGGTCTGTTCCAGGTGCATAGGAGTCAAAATAAGAATACTGGAAGAAAGAGACCCGCACACTGTCGAAAAAAGGAATAGATCCAAAACTGAGGCTTGAATGCAAAATACATTTACATTTTAGTAATTTAGCAGACTCTCTTATCCAGAGCGACTTAGTTAGTGCATTCATCTTAAGCTAGCCAGGTGGGACAACCACATATCACAGGCACAGAAAGTACATTTTCCCTCAATATCGTAGCTATCAGTAGAGTCAGAGCTAGAAGGGGAAGGGGGGGTTCAAGTGCAAGGGCTGGTTAAGGTTGTTTTATTTGGGGGGGGATTATTTAAGATACTTTTTGAAGAGGTAGGGTTTCAGATGTTTTCGGAAGATGGGCAGGGACTCTGCTGTCCTAGCTTCAGGGGGAAGCTGGTTCCACCATTGTGGTGCCAGGACAGAGAAGAGCTTGGACTGGGCTGAGTGGGAGGGCCAAGAGACCTGAGGTGGCAGAACAGAGTGCTCGGGTTTGGGGTGTAGGGTTTGAGCACAACCTGAAGGTAGGGAGGTGCAGTTCCTCTTGTTGATCCGTAGGTAAGCACCATGGTCTTGTAGTGGAGAGGTTTCGACTAGAAGCCAGTGGAGTGTGCGGAGGAGCAGGGTGACATGAGAGAACTTGGGAAGGTTGAACACCAGGCGGGCTACAGTGTTCTAGATAAGGTGCAGGGGTTCGATGGCACAAGTGTGGAGCCCAACCAACAGAGAGTTGCAGTAGTCCAGACAGGAGAGGACAAGTGCCTGGATTAGGACCTACGTCGCTTCATGTGTGAGGTAGGATCGTACTCTACGGATGTAGTAGAGCATGAACCTGCAGGAGCGAGTCACTGCTTTGATGTTTGCAGAGAACGACAGGGTGTTGTCCGGGTCACGCCAAGGTTCTTTGCACTCTGGGAGGGGGACACTGTGGAGTTGTCAACCGTGATGGAGAGGTCTTTCACCGGGCAGGCCTTCCCCGGGAGGAAGAGCAGTTCCGTCTGGTTGAGCTTGAGGTGGTGGGCCGACATCCAAGTTGAGATATCTGCCAGGCACGCAGAAGAAGAAAAGTAGTTGAGTGTCATCCACGTAGCATTGATCGGAGAGACCATGTGAGGATATGACGGAGCCGAGTGACTGGTGTATAGAGAGGAGAGGGCCTAGAACCGAGCCCTGGGGGACACCAGTAGTGAGAGTAAGTGGTGCAGACACAGATCCTCTCCACGTCACCTGGTAGGAGCGGCCTGCCAGGTAGGATACAATCCAAGAGTGTGCTGAGCCTGAGACAGCCAGCCCTGAGAGGGTGGAGAGGAGGATGTTTATAAAGAGGTTTATTTTAACATCATGGTGCCCAAAGAATATATCAGTGCAAGAAAGTGAATAAATAAAAGGTGTAAACAAAACAAAAGTTTCGGCCTCAGGCCATCATCAGAATTTACACTGATGGCCTGAGGCTGAAACGTTTGTTTTGTTTCAATAAACATCTTTATTTTGCATTCAAGCCTCAGTTTTGGATCTATTTATTTTTTCGACAGTGTGCGGGTCTAACTCTTCCACTATTGAACAGGTTAAATATAAATAAATACGATTATCTTAACCACTGCTTCCCCCTTGTGGCATTGTTGTTAAAAAAGTGAAGCAATCCAAATACTGTCCATTTTCATACCACAGCATATTAATTGGTTCAGCTGAAACATTGTGATTAACCAGACTAGCGGAATAGTGAATTAATCTTAATATTGTAGCAGTTTAATGTTAAGGTTTATTGATGATATTTGGGTATACTTACGGATGCTCTGCCAAGCTTTCATAACCACCAAGGCTCTCGGCAAGTGCAAACAACTTGAAATCAAAAACAGCACAAAACATTATTGCAGTGTCCATCCGTGACTGAATCCTCAACACATACTGTAGTAAAATACAATGATGCCCGATTCATACTATAGAGCCGATCCTTGCAGTTCTTTCCAGCATGGTTCAAGCAACTACAGTGAGGGAAAAAAGTATTTGATCCCCTGCTGATTTTGTACGTTTGCCCACTGACAAAGACAAGATCAGTCTATAATTTTAATGGTAGGTTTATTTGAACAGTGAGAGACAGAATAACAACAACAAAATCCAGAAAAACACATGTAAAAAATGTTATAAATTGATTTGCATTTTAATGAGGGAAATAAGTATTTGACCCCTCTGCAAAACATGATTTAGTACTTGGTGGCAAAACCCTTGTTGGCAATCACAGAGGTCAGACGTTTCTTGTAGTTGGCCACCAGGTTTGCACACATCTCAGGAGGGATTTTGTCCCACTCCTCTTTGCAGATCTTCTCCAAGTCATTAAGGTTTCGAGGCTGACGTTTGGCAACTCGAACCTTCAGCTCCCTCCACAGATTTTCTATGGGATTAAGGTCTGGAGACTGGCTAGCCACTCCAGGATCTTAATGTGCTTCTTCTTGAGCCACTCCTTTGTTGCCTTGGCCGTGTGTTTTGGGTCATTGTCATGCTGGAATACCCATCCACGACCCATTTTCAATGCCCTGGCTGAGGGAAGGAGGTTCTCACCCAAGATTTGACGGTACATGGCCCTGTCCATCGTCCCTTTGATGCGGTGAAGTTGTCCTGTCCCCTTAGCAGAAAAACACCCCCAAAGCATAATGTTTCCACCTCCATGTTTGACAGTGGGGATGGTGTTCTTGGGGTCATAGGCAGCATTCCTCCTCCTCCAAACACGGCGAGTTGAGTTGATGCCAAAGAGCTCAATTTTGGTCTCATCTGACCACAATACTTTCACCCAGTTCTCCTCTGAATCATTCAGATGTTCATTGGCAAACTTCAGACGGCCCTGTATATGTGCTTTCTTGAGCAGGGGGACCTTGCGGGCGCTGCAGGATTTCAGTCCTTCACGGCGTAGTGTGTTACCAATTGTTTTCTTGGTGACTATGGTCCCAGCTGCCTTGAGATCATTGACAAGATCCTCCCGTGTAGTTCTGGGCTGATTCCTCACCTTTCTCATGATCATTGCAACTCCACGAGGTGAGATCTTGCATGGAGCCCCAGGCCGAGGGAGATTGACAGTTATTTTGTGTTTCTTCCATTTGCGAATAATCGCACCAACTGTTGTCACCTTCTAACCAAGCTGCTTGGCGATGGTCTTGTAGCCCATTCCAGCCTTGTGTAGGACTACAATCTTGTCCCTGACATCCTTGGAGAGCTCTTTGGTCTTGGCCATGGTGGAGAGTTTGGAATCTGATTGATTGATTGTGTCTGTGGACAGGTGTATTTTATACAGGTAACAAACTGAGATTAGGAGCACTCCCTTTAAGAGTGTGCTCCTAATCTCAGCTCGTTACCTGTATAAAAGACACCTGGGAGCCAGAAATCTTTCTGATTGAGAGGGGGTCAAATACTTATTTCCCTAATTAAAATGCAAATACATTTAACATTTTTGACATGCGTTTTTCTGGATTTATTTGTTGTTATTCTGTCTCTCACTGTTCAAATAAACCTACCATTAAAATTATAGACTGATAATTTCTTTGTCAGTGGGCAAATGTACAAAATCAGCAGGGGATCAAATACTTTTTTCCCTCACTGTATGTTGTATGCATAACCAGATAAGCCCAGTACAGCTCGTCTTGGTATTGTCTTGTGAATCAGACATGAGCGTCTCAATTCTGTAATTACCTTTAGGTTGCTGAGGAACATGGTGGCGTTCTCCAGTTTTCCCTTTATGTAGAAGGTGATCATCCCTGGGCAGCCAGTGCACTGTCTCTTCATCAGCTCATGCTGGGGGTGGGAGGGCAAGCCTGCAGAGTGGAGAGGTAATAAGAGTCAAATCGGTCAGTCAACTGTTAAATTCGTTAACCACAGGGTGCGGTCCACTCAATCACAGAGAATATGAGGGTAACTGGAGATGCATGTGCTGTGACTGAACTGTATGTGTTTCTACTGGCCCAGGGAATTACCAGAGACTACATTGAAAAATGTATTATTATCCATATGCCCAGAAAGCAGGTCATGTCAAAATAAGTTACATGTGTTTTATGCAACATACAGAAATACTATTTTGAAATGTTGATATCCACAGAGATCCCCCCCGCTGTCACCTGGGAAGATGACTCGGTCCACCCTGGGGTCGGCCTCCAGGAACTGGGCCACTGCCAGGGCGTTCTTGAAGTGCTGCCTCATGCGCAGGTGCAGGGTTTTCAGGCCGCGGTTACACAGGTAGCAGTCAAAGGGGGACGGTACGGCTCCGAGGGCTTTAGGGTCAGGATTAGGGCACAATAAGGAAGAACAATTACAAAATACACCAATCAGCCCCTCAGACAAACAACCAACAAGGGTGCTATACAAAGCCTTCTTTATCAGCGGTTTATAATTGGTGGAAAGTCCTGGCATCACCAGCATGTGTGAATGTTTGATGAGCGAAAGTAGGTCACAAGAGTTGAGCAACTTCTTCACTGAGAAGTTCAACTGCTTCAGTCATAGTAGGGTAAAAATGTGGCAGGTGTATCACCTAAACATACATGGCTTTTTGCCAGTTGCTATTCATGAATCTCTCACCATTCTGTAGAAACCTCAGTCTTTCATACAGGTCCTCATCGTTCACAGACACCAGGCCCATTACAATGTCACTGTGACCTGCCAATCAAATAAAACAAAACTCCCATTTAAACTCCGATGTTATCAAACCCAATGGGAATTCTCCTCAGTCAACATCAATGTACAAACAGTGTGTACCTACCATTCATGTACTTAGTAGCTGAATACATGCAGATGTCTGCTCCGAGGGCCAAGGGGCGCTAAAGAGCAAGAGACGAGCACAGAGTATTTTTGGGTTAATCAATGACTTGTTTCCTCTCATATCCAGTTGGTATGAGCTGGTCTGTGTTAGGAAACTTAAGAGAGCGTGAAATGAAGGAACACATCCATTTCAATTCAAATCATTAAGCTTTATTAATCTCCAACTGTCACTGGGCTGAATGTAGCAATACATAACCAACAACACCAAACAGGGCAGTGTGTATATAAATTATATACAGTACCAGTCAAAGGTTTGGACACACCTACTCATTCAAGGGTTTTTCTTTATTTTTACTATTTTCTACATTGTAGAATAATAGAAGACATCAAAACTATGAAATAACACATATGGAATCATGTAGTAACCAAAAAAGTGTTAAACACAATATTTTATATCTGAGCTTCTTCAAAGTAGTCACCCTTTACCTTGATGACAGCTTTGCCCCCTATTGGCATTCTCTCAACCAGCTTCATGAGGAATGCTTTTCCAACAGTCTTGAAGGAGTTCCAACATATGCTAAGCACTTGTTGGCTGCTTTTCCTTCACTCTGCGGTCCAACTCATCCCATACCATCTCAATTGGGTTGAGGTCGGGTGATTGTGGAGGCCAGGTCATCTGACGCAGCACTCCATGGCGTGGTGTAGCGTTTGGCCCGAGCAAGGAGTTTGGGTAGCCAGACAATGTTTTAGGACCTACTAATCAGGTTGTGACTCAATGGGTCTTGTCTATACTGTATTGCAAGCTCTTATCTTGTAGCAGAAACAGCAGCGAGAGCGCCCGCTGCTCATGTATCATTTGTAATATATTCACTTAAACTTTTGGGAGCTGCACTCTCTTCCTCTGTTAGAGAGGAAATGAAAGAGCAGAGCAGTGTGACGCAGGTGGTAACCTAAGTGACTGTAGGCAGAAAGAGGAAGGAGGCTGTGCTTTAACGTGGGCCTGCAGGCCTCAAACAGAAACAACCTAAGACACTACTAATCCACTTCTCACTAGCCTTGTATGGTATGATGGAAGTAACAGCGGCTGTCTGCTGTCATGGAGGTTTCTGCTAGTCACATTACAGTCCTACTGTATTTCAATGGAAACTGGTAACTGCCTTTGAGGCTGCCTTCGAGGGCTGGTGTGAGAGTGCTGATGAAGATGTTGTTCGTGTTCAAGGGGAAGAGTATGGTGTGTGTGTTTTAAAGCGTTACAAACACACACACACTCAGGAACATCCACACAGGAGGAATGGAGTGTGTGTTTACAAGGTTACTCAAACACAGTCATACACTACCAGTCAAAACTTTTAGAACACCTACTCATTCAAGGGGTTTTCTTTATTTTTACTATTTTCTACATTGTAGAATAATAGTGAAGACATCAAAACTATGAAATAACACATGGAACACCCGCTATAACATCTGCTAAACACGTGTATGTGACAAATAAAATGTGATTTTATGTATGTATGTATACACATATATATTATATAAAAATAAATAAAACAAACATTTACATACCTGGAAGTAGGCTGACATGAAAGTGTTGTCCACAACCACCACGGTAACCTTGTTGTGTTGGTGGACCACCTCTGCACAGGCCTGGATATCCACCACTTTCATAGTGGGGTTGGTGGGGGTCTCGATCCATACCAACTACATAAAGATAGAAAATAAAAGAGCATATTTTTAAATAGAAGTTCAACAGGTGTTTGGGTTTCATAGTTTGGCTCCTAACCAAAAACTCACAGCTATAACATGTAGGTCTTAAACTATAGTCATGTATGGACTGGAGAGACAAGTCACAGTGAGAGCAAAGCTCCTCCTATTGAATTCTCAAATGGAGTCTGATGTTCCCTTGACTCACGGCGAAGCTCAGGGTGGAGCACTTAACATGAAGAACAAAAGGGAAATAATAGCACTGATGCTGGATGACATCTATTCTTGTACAAATAAGAAACCTGAAACCTCGGTTGATTTAGGCAAAAATAAATATAGTGAAATAAGGTAATCAAGTAGACTTAGAATTCCACTCACCTTTGTGTTCGGCTTAAGAGCAGCCTGGAGCAATTCGATTTTGGTGCAATCAGCAAAGGACACATCCAAGCCAACTTCTGCAGCAATCTTTCGGAAATAACGATTGGTCCCTGTAGAGACAAATACATAATGTATTAATGTTTCATGGTCATATGCATAAAATAAAACATAAATATGTGTGTACTCTTTCACCCACAACGTTTTGTCTACCTTTTGGTGGTTCTCTAGACAGTTTTACAGACAGTGTGGGCCATGTCTTACCTCCATACACATCGTTCATGCAGACAATGCCATCTCCAGCTTTCAGCATGTGAGTGATGGTCATAGTCGCAGCCAGCCCAGAGGCAAGAGCAAGACCTTCACAGGAAATTCAGTTAATGATAGTTCAAATAATACATTATCTTCAAGTACACAGGAGGCTAGTTAATGGTCTGTGTAGATATCTATTTTCTACATGTAGGCTATATATTCTCTAAATTGTTATATTTTATTAGATACAAATTCACGAGGTAATGGTGTCTGACATGAACACTTACAGTGCTTTGCTCCATCCAGAGCAGCAACAGCTTTCTCCAAACAGTTTCTTGTCGGGTTTCCACTACGACTGTACTCAAAACCCTGATAAAAAGATACATTACATTTAGAGAGCACACATTTGCCACATCTTTCATAAATAAACAGATGATGGTACTGATAATCACCTGGTCATTAATGATTCGGTAAAATCTAATGAAAACCGTTAACTTTCACTTTCAATATTCATCACAAAAAGCTCATTTCTCCATCACTGTCAGAGGTTGAGCAGCCAACATTCTGACTGTGGAACAAAATGTGTAATGTATGTGCTAGGCAGGGAAAGACTAACAACCATACTCTCATACATATGAATATTAACACCAACATTTCCCCTGGAAATTCGTTGAACAGGACCGGTTCAGTATACCCGATCGGTATAAAGACACCCCATACTGAACTAACGCCCCGCGATACCAGACACCAATGTTATTGTATCAGGCAACTTACAGCATGATTTCCAGGTCTATACTGCTTGAACGTGGTGGACAGAGAAATAGGTGGCACCACTGCCATAGAGTTCCATTGCTCCGGTTCTTGCCCAACGTGGATCGCCTCTGTTGCGAAAGATTTGAACTGCACGCGGAAACCGGCAGACAAGTCGTTTTGTTGGTGTGAAGAAGCCATGTGTTACAAATCCAGTCCGGTTCCCTGAGAGTGATGTGTAGCTATGTTTTACCGTTGAATAATCCTATTGAAAACGAAATTGTCATTTAGCGGCGACGTGTAATACCCATATCCTTTGTAACCCAATCACTGCTTCTCTACAAGGGGAGGATGGCACCGATTGGTGTTTCAATAGGGGCGTCCCGTGACCCATGTTAGCGCGTGGCTTGTTTTATATGCTTGCAGGATGCAATGCATGGTTTGAGCCAATTGGAGGAAGAGAATGCTACATTATATTCTTACATACGTACAGGGGCGGACTTGCTATCTGGCATTTTGAGGGCTGGTCCATTTTTAGCCCAGTGGGCCTGTCTAACTTGTTTTTTTGCGCAACATTGGAATGATCTGGTTAGTAATGGGGGCCTCCAAGAAAAATAATGGGCCGGTGTGGGAGCATTGAGGAAAGAAATGGGCCGGTGTGGGGGCCTCAAGGGAAAAAATGGGCCGGTGTGTTAGAAATGCCAGGGCCGAATTCTGGTCCCAGTCCGCCCCTGATTACATAAAAATCATGTTATTTGTTCTTAGTTTGAAAGTAATCTAAGACACACATTTCTACCACCAATTTGTTGAAGACAGTTTTGTGTATTTTTTCCACATACTTAATTTGTATCTTTCTTAGTACAAAAAAGTCAAACAACAACACTCCCATTGGCCCATTGATACTATGGAGGAGAGTCAAGATATTGCTGTGATAAAAAGCAGTACAGTTTTTCTCTAGCACACTATTTTCAGTCCTGTGCCACAGGGGGGAGCCGGTGTGCTATGTTGTTCAGTGTTTCAGGCAGAAGACAGTTTGACTGTAAAGTCAAATTGAAAAGTTTATAGATCCACAGTCCATCTAGGGTCTATAACCACAGACTATGGACCTGGCAGAAGATTTCTTTAGGGTAGTTATATAAATGCACATAATTTTCCTCTGAAACATTTCTGATGAATTGAAGGACAATCAGCACTCTCTTCATAGTGGGTCTAAGCAAATGCATTGTTCAGTTTGTGATAAAAGCACAACATTTGGCGCAGAGGTAGGTTTATAGATTCTGAATAGATTTTGATATTGGGCCATCACAGATTTGGCCCCTAGGGGGCGTGGCAGCCATCTTACAAAATGGCCACCAGAAGTTTCCTTATAGTGGCCATTTTGTTTGAGCTTCACTCATGAAAATATTTTAGGAAGATAACTACTTCCCTTGATGCTGCATACCAAATTTGTTGCAGATTGGTCAACCGGTTCCCAAGAAGCAGATGTTTAAAAAAGTACACAACATTTTAAAAAATGGCAGCAAATCCATCACAAGCTGGTGAAATCCTTCACTGATAAAAGCAACAAAGTTGGCAAATATGGTGATTTATGTACTCTGAATTTAAAAGATTTAGATATGGAGCCACCAAAGATTTGGTCCCTACCCCTAGGTACATCCTACAAAATGGCCACCAAATGTAACACTTTTACAATTCAGAAGAACTGTTTTGAGATAACAGCACCAACATTTGGTACAGAGGTAGATTAATGTACCCTGAAAAGATGTAGATATGGAGCCACCACAGATATGGCAGACATTTTACAAAATGGCCTCCAACAGTAAAACTGTTTTACAATTCAGAATAACTATTTTGATATAAAAGTACCAAATTTGTCAGATTTTTAACTTGCTCTTTTGCTTAGTAGCCCCTAGTAAGTTGCTAAGTTTCCTGATGCTGCCTCAGATCAATAGCCACCACCAGCCAAAAGTCCTTGGCATAGTAAACGGTGGCATGACATCAGTGTTAATTTTGTCAGCAATAACTAAGACAAAAAATACTTGTCAACAACCTATTTTACCTGACTAAAAGTATGACGATAACGAGACGAGAAGCCCTGGAAAAAGACAATAACTATTACAAATTACTGGGACTAATGGACATTTAATTTGACATGAGCTCCTTTTCATTTGTTTGGTCCAATCCTAAGCATGCATGCATGCAGAATATTTCATGCAATCCTCTCATTGGCAGAATTGACATCTTTCAGTTGCACAGTCTGATTGAGCTGATCTGCCCGGCTCTTCCACACAGCTCCCAGGCGGTCACTTCAGTCATTTGTCAATCTTTTGAACTGATGTGAAGCCAGGACACTTGACTTGTAATTAACCTCAACTAGAAACACTGTTTACTCCCTCTTACTTACATGTAGGCAATTTTTGCTTTGATCACATCAGAATCTCTATTTTCCCATGTGCGCTGTTATTCATTAATCTGTGTTGCCACTCTCATGCCGCGGTCCGCAAATGCCAGTTGTAGTTGCTTTTTTCCTATGGGAAAAACATTGTTTGCTCAGAATGTTTCTTGTATTATTACATACAGCCAAAAATAACTTTTTGATATTAGATCGGCAGAGCCTTTGTTTGAACTTCCTGAGGTAGCGCCATTCATCCCGGGGCTGCACCAAAACGCCAACGCCGGAGAAGAGGAAGAAGAAGTGGGTCCCTAGTGAGACTTTGTGCACTGGACGTATTTATTGTAACTGGGGACTTTATTAAAGGAAACTAAAATTCTATCAACACATCTCCTATGCTACATGCACATCGAAGACTCTGGATCATTACTACTCAGCCTTCCGGGACGGCTACAAGACCCTCCTGTCAGTAGCTGAGTGTAGATGCGGTGAGGAAATCAAGCGCAGGAAACACGGGCGTACATCAACAGACTTTAGTTAACAAAATGCAGCACCAAACAGGCGAACAGCCAACCCAACCGGGAGGCAAAATACAAATTACGCACAACACACACAGTGCGTAAAATGAAGATAGCGCACACAGTGCGGACTCTCGGAAAACAACAAACACGAGAGTATTACAAAAGAGCAACAGCTTGACAATAAACAATACCACATAACACCTGCCCCCACCCACGAAAACTAAATAGGCAACCAAATCAAACACTAACAAGGGACAGGTGTACAAACAGACAAAACCAAACAAACATGAAACATCGAACGGTGGCAGCTAGTACTCCGGGGACGACGACCGCCGAAGCCTGCCCGAACAAGGAGGAGGAGCAGCCTCGGCCGAAACCGTGACAGTACCCCCCCCTTGACGCGCGGCTCCAGCCGTGCGCCGATCCCGGCCTCGGGGACGACCAGGACGACGCGGAGCAGGGCGCGTAGGATGACCCCGATGGAACTCGGTCAGCAGGGACAGGTCTAATATGTCCCTCCTCGGCACCCAGCACCGCTCCTCCGGGCCGTACCCCTCCCACTCCACGAGATATTGGAGACCCCCCATCCGGCGTCTCGAATCAAGGATGGACCTCACAGTGTACGCCGGAGCCCCCTCGATGTCCAACGGGGGCGGAGGAGTCTCTTCTATCTCATAGTCCTGGAGTGGACCAGCTACCACCGGCCTGAGGAGAGACACATGGAACGAGGGGTTAATATTCCTGTAATCAATAGGCAGTTCTAACCTGTAACACACCTCGTTCAACCTCCTCAGGACTTTGAATGGCCCCACAAACCGCCGACCCAGCTTCCGGCAGGGCAGGCGGAGGGGCAGGTTTCTGGTCGAGAGCCAGACTCGATCTCCAGGTGCGTACACAGGCCCCTCACTGCGGTGGAGATCGGCGCTCGTCTTATGCCGACGGATGGCCCGCTGCAGATGAACGTGGGCAGCGTTCCATGTCTCCTCCGAGCGCCCCACCACTCATCCACCGCAGGGGCCTCGATCTGGCTCTCGTGCCAAGGTGCCAGAACCGGCTGGTACCCTAACACACACTGAAAAGGGGTTAGTTGGGTGGAGGAGTGGCGGAGAGAGTTCTGTGCCATCTCGGCCCACGGAACGTATCTCGCCCACTCCTCCGGCCGGCCCTGGCAATAAGACCTCAGAAACCTACCCACATCCTGGTTGACACGTTCAACCTGCCCATTACTCTCCGGGTGGTAACCCGAGGTAAGGCTCACCGAAACCCCCAACCGTTCCATAAACGCTCTCCACACTCTGGAGGTGAACTGGGGGCCTCGATCAGACACTATATCCTCGGGTACCCCGTAATGCCGGAAGACATGGGTAAACAGAGCCTCAGCGGTCTGTAGGGCAGTAGGGAGACCCGGCATGGGAAGGAGACGACAGGCCTTCGAGAACCGATCCACAACGACCAGGATGGTAGTATTCCCCTGTGAGGGGGGAAGGTCTGTAACAAAATCCACCGAGAGGTGGGACCAGGGTCGTTGTGGAACGGGCAGGGGTTGTAGCTTACCCCTGGGCAAATGTCTGGGCGCCTTACACTGGGCACACACCGAACAGGAGGAGACATAAATCCTCACATCCCTGGCTAACGTTGGCCACCAGTACTTAGTGCTAAGGCAGTGAACTGTCCGGCCGATACCTGGATGTCCAGAGGAGGGGGACGTATGAGCCCAATAAATGAGGCGATCGCGTACCTCGAGCGGAACGTACGTCCGACCCACTGGACATTGTGGAGGACTTGGGTCGGTGCGTAACGCCCGCTCGATCTCTGCATCGACCTCCCATACCACCGGTGCAACCAGACAAGACTTTGGTAGTATGGGAGTGGGCTCAACGGACCTCTCCTCCGTGTCATACCGCCGAGACAGGGCATCTGCCTTCCCGTTCTGGGACCCAGGGATGTAAGTGATTTTAAACACAAACCGGGCTAGAAACATAGTCCAGCGGGCCTGGCGAGGATTCAGTCTCCTAGCTGCCCGGATGTATTCCAGGTTACGGTGGTCAGTCAAAATGAGGAAAGGGTGTTGAGCCCCCTCGAGCCAATGCCTCCACACCTTTAGGGCCTGTACCACGGCTAACAGCTCCCTGTCCCCTACGTCATAATTCCGCTCCGCCGGACTGAGCTTCTTAGAATAAAAAGCACAGGGGCGGAGTTTAGGTGGTGTGCCAGACCGTTGTGAGAGAACGGCCCCAATACCGGCCTCGGACGCGTCTACCTCTACCTGGAATGGTAAAGCGGGATCCGGATGCGCCAACACCGGCGCCGAGGTAAACAGGTCCTTCAGTCTCCCAAAAGCCCTGTCCGCCTCAGCTGACCACCGCAAGCGCACCGGACCCCCCTTCAACAGAGACGTTATGGGAGCTGCCACCTGTCCAAAACCCCGGATAAACCTCCGGTAGTAATTCGCAAAACCCAAGAACT